AATTCTCAATACAAAACACTGAATTCTAAATGAAAAACACTGAATTCTAAATTCAAAACACTGAATTCTAAATAAAAAAACATTGAATTCTAAATAAATACACTGAATTCTAAATAAAAAAACACTAAATTCTGAGTTAAAAAGCACTGAATTCTAAATAAAAAGCACTAAATTCTACATAAAAAGCACTGAAGTCTAATTAAAAAACACCAAATACTAAATTAAAAAAGCACTGAATTCTAAATTTAAAAAAGCACTGAATTCTAAATAAAAAACACTGAATTCTAAAAACAATCCAAATTCTAAATAAAAAACACTGAATTCTAAATAAAAAACACGGAATTCTAAATAAAAAGCACGGAATTCTAAATAAAAGCACTGAATTCTAAATAAAAAACACTGAATTCTAATTTTAAAAATCACTGAATTCTAAATAAAAAAAACTTTAATTCTAAATAAAAACACTGAATTCTAAATAAAAAAGCACCTAATTCTAAATAAAAAGCTGTGAATTCTAAATTAGAAACACCAAATTCTAAATGAAATAACACCAATTCTAAATAAAAAAAACTTAATTCTAAATAAAAAACACCAAATTCTAACTAAAAAACACTGAATTCTAAATTAAAAAGCACTGAATGCTACATTAAAAAACACTGAATTATAAATAAAAACAACGCATTCTAAATAAAAAAGCACTGAATTCTAAATAAAAATGCACTGAATTCTAAATAAAAAGCACCAAATTCTAAATTAAAAAGCACTGAATTCTAAATAAAAAACATTGAATACTAAATAAAAAACACTGAACTCTAAGAAAAAGCACCAAATTCTAAGTTAAAAAAACACTGAATTCTAAAAAACATATCCAAATTCTAAATACAAAACACTGAATTCTAAATTAAAAACACTGAATTCTAAATAAAAAGCGCTGAATTGTAAATAAAAAAACACTGAATTCTAAATAAAAAACACTACTGTTAACTACCTCATTACCTGACTTCAGGAACCCACAGCATGTTCATCTCCTATCACCCAAGTCTGCACGTCATGTAATAACAGGAAAGACAACCATGCACACACACAAACATACAAACTTGTGTAACTCAAGATAGAGAGCTATGGACCCGACGAGGCGCGAAATCACCCCCCTTTCGAAGTCGGTAAGTTGTTGGTGGTAGAATTGACCAAATTAGTGGAACCCTTGTGCAGTTTGATTTGGTCCCTGTGGACCCATTTGTAGACAAGCTCCTTGTTTGTTTGGGTAATCTTGATCTGATACATGACTGGAGAGAGCTTATCTGTTATCAGGTATGGGCCTGACCATTTGGGCAAAAGTTTCTTAGCCAGCTTCCCAGAGATGTTCTTGTTAATACCAGTTTTAGGAGCCAAAATGTAGAACCAGGCCTCATCACCTACGTTGAGTTCAGAATGTGAGGCCTTCTTACCAAAATAAGCCTTCCTGCCTTCAGCCGATTTCTCCAGATTTGTCTGTGCAAACGAGAATGCTGCAGGCAGATGGTTTTTTAGGTCCTGCAAATATTGTTCGCTCGTGTAAGCCGGGTCTACCTCGGGCTGAACCGGTTGGTGCAGCAGGTGAAGTGGTAGGGTCATTTGTCTACTCGTCATCATTTTAAATGGGGAGACATGAGTAGACTCGTGAGGGGTAGACCGTATGGCCATGAGGACCAACGGAATCTTCACGTCCCAGTCTCGGTGGTTAGAGGACACGTACTTCTTCAACATGCCGACAACCATTCGGTTTATCCTTTCGGCCTGGCCAAAAGACTGGGGGCGATGGCTAATGTGGAACTTGGCCTTCACACCCAACAGTTTCCAAAGATGTTCCATCACTTCAGAGGTGAAGTTAGGGTTAGGTTTGGAACCCGTTACTCTTCCAAGAAGGTAGATGACAAATGAAACTGAGACGTGCGTAGTCCGAGTCAGTGCAAATCGCCAGCTCACGGATGCCACGATCCCTAGCATGTTGTAGTACTATCAAGATCCCAGCCACTTCTGCAAACTGTGAGGTCTTAGAACCCTACCAGTAACATCAGGAGTCCTTCTGGTCATCGTTCAACCAGACGACACCTATGCCTGCACTAGGCGCAGGACCATGTAGAAAAGAACTGCCATTGACGTACACGGTCGGCAAGTCCACACAGAGAGACTGATCGAAAGTAGTGGTGGTTGGGGTTTTGTAGAGTGTGAGGAGGGCTAGCTGGCGGGACTGGCGGGACTGACGCGACAGCGTCGTCCGAGCAGTGTTGGCATGCAGCCAAACCCATGCCAAGAGGGCTACTCAGTTCTGGGCATAGTGTACTTCGATGTCGAAGCTAAATCAACCCGAACGAATTGAATTTATTTATCCCTTTGTGGGTCGCGGATTTAGAAGACACAGAAGCTGTGTCAAAGGATTTTACAGCCCCGGGTTGCAAGTCCGTTTTGCCGAAACTGAAGCTAAGCTTAGCGGCTAATTGATAAGCTAGCGGTCCTGTCAGCTGTACAGGAAAAATACACCAATTCTGCAGTAGAATTGGCCGGCGCGGATAATCGGGCATTCGTGAGCGTCCGTTAGGGTTAGGGTTACCCCCAAATTCCACTACCTCCGCTCCGCTCCACTCCGCTCCGCCCCCGCCTTCCGCAGTCGCTTGCTTCCGAACTCAATTTTTACTGGTACCCGCTCTACAACTGCTCCGCTCTGGTGTGGAGACCTGAGGTGCGCAAACAAGCATGCACTGGATTTTCGAGATCTTGCGATACAGTCCGAGCAATAAACGCGGAAGTTATATCCAAACACCCGTTGTGTGGGAGACGCATCCACATGAACTGTTTAATCTGCCCATCATTTGTGTTGAGAGACCAGCAGTGTTTGGATCAACAAAGTGTGACTACTTTGATAGTGGAAACTGTATTCATGGCTTACTTTTGTGCATTTAAAGTTCAACCGCCAGTGATAGTTGTTAAAAGTTGTTAAACCTGTGCATATGAAACAATAAACGCTTTTTGTTTATCGATTTATTGTGAAATAACGGAAGCTGGGCTTGCTCCCTTTCCTGTTGGGCGGTTGTGATTCCTGTCCATTGACTGCGGAGGTGCTCCGGCGTCCGGCAAAAATAGGATCTATCCTATTTTGGCCGGAAGCCGGAACAGAGGGCGGCGCACTGCACCACACTGCCGCAGCACGGCCGCAGTAGTGGAATAGCTCTGATTGACTACAACGGGACCGATTTTGCTGCGGAGTTCGTGCCGGAGCGGAGCGGAGGTAGTGGAATTTGGGGGTGAGGGCTAAAACCAAATAATAACAATGAATTTTACAGTGAGTGCCCCAGTTATTATGGCATCCAACAAAAATAAAACCAGCCATATTGGTCTCCGTTGTTCACCCTTTTCTTCAGTTTTGTTTCCTGGTGGCATACTTTGCATTTCATGTTTCTTTTAAGCAGTTTAATCTTCTGAATATGTTTTATAAGCTTCAGTGGGCCTCTTCTAGAAAGCTCCTCCTTAATTAATTTTTTCAGTCGTGTAAAATTTCCCATTTTTGGCCAAAATACATTTAATGAGTTTCCTGTTATGCTAGCTCTGAGCTGTAATGTCGCTTCTGGCCAATTATTTAACAGAGAAAGCCATGCATTTGCTGCTTCCTTCTTCCGACATGACCAATAGGAGACCGCAATGCTGTGCCCTTTCTCCTCTAGGGCATAACCAAGTTGGAGTAATGGCTTCCTCTAGCTCTGTGAACATGACGAGCCCTGGTCGATCTACAATAGGCAGGCGAATGAGGGCAAAAAAGGGAAATAACGACGTGGACATGGTGGATGTCAGTGTTTCCAGTGGTGAGTGTTTTGCACTTTATTGTGTTTGGTTATTTGGTTGGAAACAACCACCATCACGGGGCTGGGCGCTAACCGCTAATAAGCAGTTAGCTTAGCTTTCAGCTACATTCAAGCTTTAGATATCGACAAAAACAATGCGGAATGTGTGTTACTAGTTATTTTTGTGACCTAGTTAAAGGAATAACTGCTTGGCGGCCGCATCAGTGATCGGTGCGTCGGAGGACAAGGTGATGTGCCCCGCTCCACAGCAGCAAACGCATCAAGCGCAAATAAAAGACAGAAAACATTAAAGGAAATGAGCCGACATGAACGACTGAGTGTTAAATTAGTTTTTGAGGTGGCGACACCTGATTTGATAATGTTACTGTGGCCGTGCTCAGGACACAGATCTACCGACCGTGAAAACAGCGGAGTGCTCGCTGCTTGGCAGCCGCATCAGTGATCGGTGCGTCACCGGAGGACAAGGTGACACGCCCCGCTCCACAGCAGCGAAACGCGTCAGGCGCAATTAAAAGACAGAAAACATTAAAGGAAATGAGCCGACATGAACGATCGTGTGTCAGTACCGATGCTCTGGCACAGCGCGTTGCCTCCCGACGCACAGGAGCTTGTCACCTGCTGACAGCAGGCCGCTGTCTTTTCCGAGGGCTGCATCTTGCCGGTCATTATCACGTGACAGCGTCTAGTCAATGACAGGCATAAAAAGTCACTATAGTGAAGTCGACTAGTTCATACAACCCCTATTGCTCCCAGAGTGTTCTGCAGCATAATCAGCACGTACTCTTTGAACTTGATATCAAATTTTTGCCTCCTCTTCGTCTCCGCACGGTTAAAGTTACCCTCGCGGTCTATCGCTGGCAAATCAAAAGTGAGACGGATGACACAACACCCCCCCCCCCCCCCCCCCCCCCCCCCGTACTTGCTTGTTACCACATTCCATCCGGCCACAATAACATACCAGCCATTATTCACCTCCGCCGACTCCGACACCGGCCAAAATATGATACCCGGCAGTTAATTGAATACAGGCCAACAATTACAGGCCAATATTAGAGGATTTACGGTAACTACTTTAGGAAAAGCTCGATCTCTCTCTCTATATATATATATATATATATATATTTTTTTTTTTTTTTTTTTTTTTAAATAAAAGATCACAAACCATTGTAGTTCAGTGAAAGCACTTGAACAGGCTCTGAAAACTGTCACAGCACACGATGGAAACGGGACCACAAGAGTGTCTGACTTAAACTTCTCAGCTGACTGCATCATGTAGACTGTATCCACTTCAAAAGTTGTTGTTTTCTTTATTCTAAGACTGGGTCTTGTCCTCTGTGGGAATGATCTTGTGATTCTTGTATTTTTCTGCCAATGTTTATTAACTGAAGACTGGAATACCTACTGAATGGTGACTCTTCTAGGAGATGCTACTTTCTTTATAACAAGTACCTTTTATCAGTATTTTATAAGCTTGTTAATTTTATATATCTACCTTACCTTTGCATTTTCAACTGGCCTGCTTATGTATCAGAGAGCCGTGCTGCTCGTTCCGTACTATGTGCTTGTCGTGTGTTATTTTTCAGTGTGAACTTTACTTCCTTTTTCTTTTTTTACTGTGTGTTAGTCTAGTTTGGTTCTCTGTCTCATGTAGTTACCTTATGGCTACAATCTGAAATTATTATTTTTCTTTTGAATTAATGTCAACTTGTGGCATGACTTTGAAATAAAGAGGAAAACATTTTCTGGGTTTGTGGTGATTAACCATCGACATATATAATGGACAATTCGTGGCCATAGACTCCAATTATATGTTTTTGTGCCAAAATGGGAGGTGGCCACCACTGCCATTTTGACCATGTCACAGGTTTCATCAAGCCCAGACAATTCCAAAAAAGGGAAAAGAGGTGGAGCTGAGGGTGGGGCTGTAAGGCTGGGATCAAATGACGACACCCTGTCGAACTGAAGCGATTTAGCTACAAGCTAACGCGGAGGTGGGAGCTAAACTAACAGAGGTAGCTATCTAGCTACAACAGGAGTTAACTGTGCAAAACACCAGAGCTTCTGAGTCAGAGATACGCCGGGCTGACCGCTGGGGAGAACCTGGTAGAACACCGCTGACGTCGTTAGGTCCGATTTAGGGGGGCTTCAGCCCCCCTAAAATAATCACATGCCCCCCTATCATTTTGAGTTTTTTTAGGGCTGGGACTTTAACGCGTTAATTATGATTAATTCCTTGCATTTCGAGCACGGCGGAACCTTTGTCATTGCACAACTTCCTCGTAGACAGAATATCACTGACGCACACAACAATGCACAGTGCTAATGGCTACTAAAACAAAATAAAAATGGAAAGAAGTTGCCTTGCTTGGACTGATGCAGGATTTAGGAAACCCGTCCGCCTCTTTTCTTATCTTGAATAAAACGAACTTCCAGACAATAACGGAGTCCATGTCGCGGACATTTTTCAGAGATCGTCTCTGCTTCGGCTGCCCGGTGGCAACGGAAACTTTACAAGAGCTGCGGTAAGCTATCTTTTTAACATTTACGTAACATCTGTGCAGCGCTGAAAGCACCAGACAGAATAATTCTGTGCCCTAACAGTAGTTTATGAAAGTAGTCAGACAAACGAGAGGCACCTGGCTGCCGCTGGGAGAACGCTCCGTGTTCTCACTACTCTGTAAACAATCACAGACAACATGCCTTAAAGTTGAAAACAGAAGTTTAAGTTAAAACAGAAACACTCTGAAACTTTTCTGATGATTTTCTAAACAATTCTGTCAGGGAGTTATATGCTTCTGAGACGAGTCTCTGTCTAAACATCACATGCATTACTATCATTAAGCAGCGAGGTGTGTTGAAGCTGTCATCAGCTAAGGGGCGGATGCTTAAGTGCATCAGGGGGCAGCGAGGAACGAGGAAGTTGTGATCAGGCTGGAGATCATACCAGATTCGCTGCAGCAGGCGTGAATCTGCGGGTCTGCAGCATCCCCTTCTTAACGTGACATCAGGACTTCCCATGTAAGGAAGGTCCGCTCACCTGTTCGTCAGATCATTATTTCCTCGCCATGATCTTTTATCATCCCATCATCCTCCAGCCATCCAACTGGAACCAGTTAGTGTTCCTGATCATTCTCAGAATATGCCACGCCTGCTCTGGTGTTAAAAGTTAGTACATTTAAGTCCTAGATCATATTTGTGCCTGTTCTACTGTCATTTTGAAGGATTATTATTTATGTGCTTTTACTACATTATGAGTAGAAATGCTAATAAAAACTCCCAATTATACAAACAAGTGAAACTGGAAAAATTAGAATCTGGAAAAATTAGAATCTGGTGCAAAGTCAAATTTATTTCAGTAGTTCAACTAGACAGAGAGACTATTGAAAGGTTCAGGAACCCTTTGCAGGCGTTTTCTATTTGTAATTATTAATTTTAGTTGATTTGGGTCTTGTTTCATATCACACAGTGACATTTGATTAATTAAAATGCATTTTTTATTAAAAGCTTTAGTTTTACAGTAATTACTATATCTAATGTTTAATTATCTGTCTCATAATTTTAATTAAGTTTTGCTTTGAGAGCACATTTTCCTGAACGATTAAAATGCGATTAATTTAGATTAATTAATTACAAAGCCTCTAATTAATCAGATTAAATTTTTTTATCAAGTCCCAGTCCTAATTTTTATATATACTGTTATTTTGTCTTGTAATTGTTAACTACATACTCCTTTATTCCATATCATAGCAGTGTTATTCATACATTAAAACTGTCAACTGCACACTCATTTGGCAGAATAAAAGTTTGACAATTATTCATTTGTTCTTTGTCACATTTCAGTAACATTTATAATTAAGCAAGTTGTAATTAAACAAATTAAACAAATGACTGTAACATTTCCCCCTGTTAAGTGCAGTAGACTGAAATGAATAGCTTTATTTGGAAATATAACATATCTAATTTTTAATGGACTTATATAAAATCTTTCTTCAACATAGACCCCACTAATGAACTGATTAAGTGTTATTTTTTTATAAAAAGAAGAGAAAAAATGCACAAAGGTAGGAAAGGAAAAGAAAGTGATAAAATAATAGGTTTTGTTAAATGTTCTTCAGATAATGAATTATTGACAAAGTTTTTGCAGGGTGTGACAAAAATGTTCAAGGTCAAGCTCCTGGGGCTAAGCCCCCCCCCCCCATCTCTCAATCCTAGTGACGTCCATGTAGAACACATAGGTCTCCCGAGAGCTCCACAAGTCGGCAGCCGCACAGCAGACAGGTGCCGCTGCGATCAGAGATGCGCAGAGCTGCAGCTGAGGGGAGGGGACCATACCGATAGTCGGAACCCAGCTCCACCAACATGTTACATTTCAACCCATTTTCTAAAGTGCAGCATTATGTTAAATGCACTGGGTTTTACCCTATTACATTTAAATTTCATGGTTAAACAGTACATGTTAAAATCTAAGCTCAGCTCGGCAGTGACCTAAAATACATAAATATAATTTAACTTACCGAAATAAATGAAGTGGAGACTCCTTGGATGCTCTATTAGTGCAATTAATGCCACAGCAAGTCATTTTGTCCAACAACTGCACAAGTAATATCCAAAACAGAACGCACAAACGCTACAACTAATGGTCTAAGTTGAGAGACTAAAAATGGTGGAACAGTTTTCAGGCGAAGCTGAGGCTCAGGCTGAGGCCTTTTCCCGGAGCTAGCTTTGCGGTCACGTGGGTTTGATGCTCATTAATTATACAGAATTTTAGGCATTTAATACACTTAAACAGAAGAGTGACAAAAAATCACCCCCTCAGAGTTGTCATGAGTATAAACTAGATCTACTAACCTAAAACTTGTAAGTCGCTTTGGACAAAAGTGTCTGCTAAATACATAGACATAAACATAAAACATGTTTTGGTACCAGGCTGTAAACATGTTTATTTCTGCTGTGAAATTGGCATTTTTAACATGGGAGTCAATGACGATTTGCTTGCTTCTGACACCAGCCCCCAGCGGATGAGGGTGGAACTGCAGTTTTTGTCACTTCCGTGTTGTCTTCATTTTCATACCAGTATTATGGGGGCTTGGATTGAACAAGAGAAGTATCAGGACTTGTTTTACGCTAAATGCTCAGTCGGTCCGAATTTCTGTGTCAAATTGAGTTGTTGGGGGTATTTTTAGAGTTTCAACTATCAATCAATCAAATCAATCAAAGCTTTATTTATAAAGCGCCTTCCGTAACCCTGTCAGGAAGCCCAAGGCGCTGAACATGGTATAGTAGAAGTACAAATATAGTGAATAAATCAAAAATAAACTAAATAAATTGAAACTAATTATATTTCTATGGAGTTGACATTGGTTAAACTTCTGAGTTCAGTAGTCTTTTTGATAGCTGAATAATTTAAAGGGTCAGAGTTACATGAAAATTGGGATAATAAAGAGCAACAAAAGCAACCAAAGACTGGAGAACCAATTATCAAGACCATCTGGATCATTTTATGAATTACAAATAGCTAAAGGTTCTTTTTTACACACTGCTGTATTTACAAATGAAACTCAAAACATTAGAATATGGTACAAACGTTCATTTATGTCCATAATTTTACTTAAAAGGTGAAATTAATAGGAGACAGACTCATTTCATGCAAAGCCTGATACTTTAATCCTTTATTTGTTGTAATTGTGGTGATCATGGCTCACATCTGATGAAAACCCCAAATTCAAAATCTCAGACAATTGCAATATTGTTAAAAGGTTAAATATTCTAAACTCAAAGTGTCAAACTCAACACCTGCAATGGGTTCCTGAGCCTTTAGATGGTCTCTCAGTCGAAGTTAGATTACTGACACAAATAAACTTTTGCACCACATCTAACTTTTCCAGTTTCACATGTGAAATGGTTACTCAGAATTCACAGTGATGAACTCTGCCACCTCCCCTCCCCACTTCCCAGCTGGCTTCTGTGTCTGCCACCAACAAGCTCCACCTCCGGATTAATCAGGATCAGCAGCCATGAATGACACCCAGCAAGAGAGTCCAGAGATCTCCGTCGCTGACCCAGACGGGCTGTAACTGGGCCACAAACCCTTAACCACCTGCAGGAGGGCCAGAGACACAACAACCAGCAGAGGTCAGGTGTGGGGGAAATTTTGAATAAAAGAAGAAAGGACTGACAGAGAAGAGACCAGAGCAAAAAAAACCACCTTCTTCTTATCTGGACCTCATATTTTTAACTATCCTGTCTACTTTGGGTCAAGTGAAACCCACAGCAGGAAAACAGGAAGGAGAGGAGGCCTTGAAAAGTGTGTTGTGAGGTAAGTATGGCAGGTGAACGCAGGCTGAGGTCTCATTAGGCTGCAGCGAGGCCACGTTGCTGCTGCTCGGTGGTAGCTTTAGGATAAATCCTCTTATTGCTCACTTTGTCCTTTGACAGCTCTTAAGCAGCCATTATGTTCTCCTCAAGGAGCCATAGTCGCACAAAAGAAAATATTTTATTCACTGTTTTTAATATTTTTGTGCATCATTACTTTGATAGTTTTACTCAGATGATCCACTGAAAACAAGTTTTGTGTTTAAAAGTTTAAAATATCAAATCATTGCAGCTGTGGTATTTATTTATTTATTGGTTCTTCTGTAATTGGATGTGTCTATTATTGGATGTTTTTAGAGTTTTTCTCCAGAAATTAGGAAGGTGACTGCTGGGAAATGTAGTTCAACATTCACAACTTTTAGTTTAATGTGGGTTGGTTACAATCAGGATCTCTCTGAGACAAAGACACAATCATGTTTGTATGTCAGGTTATCTCAGTGACAGAAAAGCATTAATATCACAAACAAGCATGTTTTCATAATGCTCGCAGACATCTGGACTGTAAGCAGCGTTTCACTGGGCCAGTGTGACAAACCGCATGCTAAGAAATAAAATGTTGAGTTATGTCAACAGATTCCACTAAACCTAGTTGCATAAAAGTCAAGAGTAATATACATTGTTGTTATGTTATAGTAAATATTACTTTTAAGCAACTACTTTTAATGGAACCAGTTGACAAAACTTGGTGAAGTTAATTCAACATTTCATTTCTTAGGGTGCAGAACATCATTAAACATGAGTCTTCAGTTTTTTCTTAACATCTATACTACTTTTATATCACACCTGTTGAATCATCAAGACAAATCTCCACATAAGCAAAAAATATTAGGCTATGGAAATTTAGCCCTTTATCAGAATTAGATTTTTTTAAATCAAGCAATATCTGAATCTGTAAGTTAAAACTTTATTTCAAATAGATTAAACCTGTGCTCCTTGAGACGGGATGCTCCGATATTTTGAGAAACTTGAATGAAATGAAGCAAAGCTTACATCACAGATTTTATTTGTGCAGGTGAACGGTTTATAAGCCTCCTCGGAGGTTTTGTAAAGCGCTTTAGCCCAAACAACAACAGCTGGTCTGAGAGTAATTAAAATAAATTCATGTATTTAACGTTTTGAAAGCCTTCTTATTATGTTACTTTCTGGATCGTTTTAGACTGTAATAAAATCATAAGTAACATGCTTGGTAACCAGAGTGCCATTGGCTGACCTTCTCCTGTGTTTTTCAGACAACCTGGCCTCTCATGGAGCTAATTCTCCTGAACTTTTTTGACTGATGATGATTTTCACACCCAGCCGTGCCTTTGAGTCACTGCCATGTGAGTGATGCACGTAGGACCACACACACAGATTAAGAGTCTGGGGTATTAACCAAGCAGTTGGTCTTGATGTGAAAATCTTTGACCAGGTTGACTCCAGCCAGGTCAGGTCTTGTGAGCTGTGATATTGTTTGTTTAGCACTAAGATTTAGGAACCATAAAATCTGGATTTTTATTCCCTCAAGACAAGAACAGCTTGGACTGGGAATGCCGTGGGTAGCTGTTGAGTGTAAATTTTCCAGAACTGGAAAAGATTATTTAACTAATAAAAAGGATGGGTGCGGAATCAGATCATTAGGTCTGAGTTTGTGCTTTATTCCAGACTGGCACCCTGTAGATTAGGATTAGAAGCTTCATCTAGATGGAAAATCATGAGAGTAGCTGCTCACAGATGAGTGGATATATGTGTAAGTTTGTGATTCTGTTGAACTAAATTATATCAGTCTGCTTAAATAAATAAAATACTCATTTTTTTTATTTGTAGTTGAAAACGTAAATGTTAATCTGCTTGATGTGTAACCATCCCCCATTTTATTTCTAGTTTTCTAAAAATCAGGATAAAATTAATCTTAATCTACAATGTGGACAGTTATCATAAAAGCTGAATTGGATGTATTTTATTTCCTACAGTTAAGTAAATTACAAAATACAGCTGTAAAAAGCCTTAAAATTAATTTACTTAACCTCCGCATTTGACCCATCCCCATGGGAAGCGGTGAGGGGTGAGCAGCAGCTGCGGCTGCGCTCGGGAACTATTTGGTGGTTTAAACCCCCAATCCAACCCACTTAAAGCTGAGTGTCAAGCAGGGAGGCAAAGGGTCCCATTTTTTAAGTCTTTGGTATGACCCAACCAGGATTTGGACCCGATCTCACGGTCCCATGGACACTCTATCACTAGACCACTGAGAAGGTTTAAGAATTAAGGTTTAAATACTTATTCAAGTTTATTTGGAGATCACACAGCTGTGAATTATACAAATTTTGTTGTAAACAACAGAAACAAAGGAAGGACAACTTGATGGAGGACCAAATGATTCAGCAGCTATAACTGCAACAACTGTGCCTCATACTTAAGACGATGGGATTAGCCCCAGGAATCCAAGTAAGCCTATAACAGCCTCAACCAGACCCTTCAATCCAACCCTCCCAAAAAACACATCTCCCTCACTGGTCTCTGGCTTCTTGTTGAACCACAGAGTTTTTTTTTCTTTCCTTTTGCTTTGTTTTGATGCTCCTGTGGATAAATATCTGTTTGTTTGAACAAAAATGAGCCAGACAGCCAGAGAAAACTCCTAAAATGGTTCTTAAAACTGCTCTTTCTATTGCTTAATAATTATTCAGCTGTATTTTTTATGACATAAAATGTCTATGTCTGGTGTAAGACATGTGTTTTTGACCTGGTTGGAGTTTAGAATCATGTCAATCATGTCATATATATTTAGACTCAAGTGTTGAACGTCTAGTGGTAAAGTGTCCACCCTGCGACTGGGAAATCGGGGTCCAAATCCCGGTCGGGTCATACTTTAAAAATGGGACCCAAAAGCCTCCCAAAAGACACTCAGCGTTAAGGGGTTTGTTTGGGGGTTAAACCACCAAATAGTTCCCGAGGACGGCCGTGTCTGCAGCTCACCACTCCCCCAGGAGAAGGGTCAAATGTGGAGAACAAAGTTTCTTCTGTGTGTGTGATGACTTACACTTTTCAATTCAATTCAAAAATACTTTATTAATCCCAGAGGGAAATGGATTGCTGTAGTAGCTCAGAATAATAATAATAATAATCAAGTCATCAAAGAGTTGTTGTATATTACAATGGCTGTTGGCAGGAAGGATCTCCAGTAGCGGTCAGTGTTGCAGCAAAACTTAAGAAGCCTCTGACTGAAGACACTCTTCTGTTGTCGGACAGTCTTGTGAAGAGAATGCTCAGGGTTGTCCATAATTTTCTTGATTCTCTGGAGAATCCTTCTTTGCATTATCTCCTCCAGTGGTTCCACAGTTGTCCCCAGAACAGAACCAGCCTTTTTATTAGGCTGTTGAGCCTTTTCAGGTCCCTGCTTCTGATGCTACTACCCCAACAGACGATGGCTGAAGAGATTACACTCTCAACAACAGACTTGTAGAAGATCTGCAGCATCTTGCTACAGACACTGAAAGACCTAAACATCCTCAAGAAGTGCAGTTTGCTGTGCCCCTTCTTGTAAACGGCTTCGCTGTTCTTTCTCCAGTCCAGTCTGTTGTCCAGGTGAACTCCAAGGTATTTGTATTCCTCAACAACCTCCACTTCTTCTCCCATGATGGAAACCGTGTTTGACTCCACCCTGTTTCTTCTGAAGTCTAAAATCATCTCCTTTGTTTTGTTCACATTCAAGATCAGATTATTGTTTCCACACCATGCCACAAAGCACTCCGCCAGCTCTCTGTACTCAGCTTCCTGTCCATCTCTGATACACCCGACAACTGCAGAGTCATCTGAGTATTTCTGTAGATGACAGGTCTCTGATTTGTACTGGAAGTCTGAGGTGTACAGGGTGAAAAGGAATGTTGAGAGTACAGTCCCCTGTGGTGCTCCAATGTTACTGATCGCCTGGTCTGATGTGCAGTTCTTCAGCCTCACAAACTGTGGTCTGTTTGTCAGGTAGTCTTTAATCCAGGCGACAGTTGAGGCCCCCACCTGTGTCTTCTGGAGTTTCTGGCAAAGTACATCAGGCTGGATTGTGTTAAATGCACTGGAGAAATCAAAGAACATGACCCTCACAGTGCTGCCTGCTTTGTCCAGATGACAGTGGATTGGTTGAAGCAGCTGGATGATGGCATCTTCAACTCCAACTACATGGTGAGAAGCAAACTGCAGCGGGTCCGGATATGTCCTAGTTTGCATATTCAGGGGGACCAACAGGAGTCTCTCCAGGACCTTCATGATGTGGGATGTCAGGGCAACTGGTCTGTAGTCATCATTGACTGATGGGCGAGTTTTCTTTGGAACTGGAACAAGACAGGATGTCTTCCACAGGACTGGAACCTTCTCCTGGGCCAGGCTGAGGTTGAAGAGGTGTTGCAGAATCCCACAGAGCTGCTCTGCACAGGCCTTCAGTACTCTGGGGCTGACACCATCTGGTTCTGTAGCCTTGTTCCTGTTCAGTCTCTCCAGCTGCCTCTTCACCTGACTTCTAGAGACAGACAGGTGGGAGGAGAAGGTAAATGAGGCAGCAGCATCTCCTGACTTGAAGACAGATTTATAGAACCAGAAGAGTCCATGACTGCGTTAGAAGACAAAAGAGCTGGCGTGTGACAGGAAAATGTTGGATCAGAGGAGGATGAGGTCTGATTGGCTGGGGACAGGCGAGGAGGATGCTGGGTTTGTTCCTGAACTGAACCTATTGAAGAACTTGTTCAGTTCATTGGCTGTGTCCTGGCTGCCATCTGTGCAGTCCTTCCTCTGCTTGAAGCCTGTGATCTTCTTCATCCCTGACCAGACATCTCTGATATTGTTCCTCTGTAGTTTGTTCTCCAGCTTCTTCCTGTATGCCTCCTTGCTGTCTCTGATCTTGATCTTCAGTTGCTTCTGTATACTCCTTAATAATTCCCTGTCTCCCTCCTTGAAGGTTCTTTTTTTCTCATTTAGCAGATTCTTCAGTTCACTGGTGATCCAGGGTTTGTTATTAGCGAAGCATCTCACCGTTCTGGTGGGTATGATGTTGTCCACACAGAAGTTTATATAGTCAGTGACACATCCAGTCATGGCATTGATGTCCTATTCATATCCTTGGCAGAGAGTCATCCAATCTGTGGTCTCAAAACAACCCTGCAAGGCTTCTTCAGCGTCCTGTGACCATTTTCTCACAGTTCTTCTTGTCACAGGTTGTCTCTGAACAAGTGGTTTGTTTTCTGAGCAGAGAAAAACAAGATTGTGATCTGATTGTCCCAGAGGAAGTCTTTTTTTGGACATGTATGCATTCTTTACATTTGCATAACACAAATCCAATGTCTTGTTTTCTCTGGAGCAGCTGACAAACTGTTGAAATGTTGGAAGTGTAGCAGAGAGCGAGGCATGATTAAAATCACCAGATATAGCCACAAATGCATTGGGGTGCTGGGTTTGTAGCATAGTGACAACGGAACTGATGGCATCACATGCATTTTCAGCAATGGCTGAAGGTGGAATATAAACGGTTGCCAAGACAACACTGGTGAACTCTCTTGGCAAATATGGGTGTCAACTTACTGCCAAGAGTTCAACATCTGGGCTGCAGAGACGACATTTCACTGAAACATGACATGGATGGCACCATCTGTTGTTGACAAGCACTGCCACTTCACCTCCTATCTTTTCCCGCTCCTCTTCAGATCTCTGTCTGCTTGTACAGAAAGGAATGCTGGCAAAGAGACGCCGGAATCAGGGATATGGTCCTGCTGCCACGTCTCAGTGAAACACATAACACTGCACTGCTGATACTCTGGCTGAGTCCTTAAAAGGGCTTGGAGTTAATCCATCTTGTTGGCCAGTGATCTCACATTGCCCATTATGATTGATGGAAAAGGTGGTTTGAATTTCCTCTCTCTGACTCCGTTTTGCTCCCGCTCTGCATCCACGCTTCTTGCGTTTTAGCTCATTCGGGATTTTTGGATTCAGTTGAGGTATTATTTTAGCCTTTCCAATGTTAATCAGCTGCTCCCGATAGTAAACCAGCTTGTTGCCATGGTTACGCATCATAACAAATGCTCAAAAAGTGAAAAAAAGTGAAAAAATAGCAGTAAAAATCCTCTAAGCTTCACAGCACCAGAAACAGAAAAGTAAAAGGTCCCAAAAAAGTTTTTTTAAGACACTAGAAGAAAAAATTTCCAAAAAAGGCAAAATTTACATGTAGTTAACAGAGCTACTCCCAACATGCAGCCACCCAAGAGCAGCGTGAGAATTGGAATTTTGCCATGAAGCAGGACTTCATAACAGAAAGATGAGTGAATTGTGTGTTTTAAATGTGGATTAATGTGAGTTCTGGGATGAATGTCAACTGGTTTGTTTTGCAGAGGCTTCACATGGTGATTTCTAATGTCCCGGAATAAAGTCCAGGCTAAACCATGGTCATTCTGCAGCAGGTGGGTCATTGTCAATGTCTCATCACCAAATGAACACAGCAGATGGCAAACACAACAAAATCAGACAAAAGGTGTTAAAATCAGACATATAATCTGCTCAAAATGTAGATAATTTAGCAGATTCAATTGTGTTTTGGGGATTTTTCCATAAAAAGTTACTAGTTAAAACATGGCAGATGTTTTAATTTGAATGAAATCGGCTTTGAATTTAGTTTATTATTTATTTCTTGCTTGATTCCAACATTGTGGAAACAGCTGCCTTCACCATGGAGGTTTCCTAGGTCTAAACCTCATCAGTATTAATTTTCCTTAAAAAAACTAATTAAAGTAAATCTTATCTGAGGCTTTAAATCTAAGGGGTGTGCAAACTTAAGAATCATTTATCTTGAACTTTCTTTTTGGAGATTTCTCACTACATCATCCTTCGCTGTGACACCTTTCATGAAAAAGGTCTGTTTAAGACCCAGATTGTCAGAAAGCAATCAACTGAAGATGAGATGGATAAAGGAGATTGTGGCAATTAGTTTTAAAATGCCACAACTTTGACTTCATGCAAATACGGTTTAAGGAAACCCAACGCCTTTGAAAAAGTGCTGATTCAAAAGGTTTTAAAGGCTTAAAGAAAGATAGATAAAAACTGAATTAGAAATGTGTGCTGAGTTGCCAAATGTGGTCAGAATGGAGAATTTAAAATTGAAGAATAATTTATACTTTTTTATCTGGGAGGTTTCTGTTGTTTGATTACACATTTCTCCTTTGAGCCTTGAATATGCAAGATGATTTATTAATATTATGAATTTAAATGGCTCAAATTGGTCAGAATTTCCCTTTAGGGTTGTAAAATTGTTCCCATAATGAATCTGAATGGCTTCAATTTATGTTTTTGGGGGGAAACGTTTCAACTAAATTGCTATTTTGCTTTGCATGTGACCAGGGGCTGGTCCATAAAGACTGGCTACCCCTGGTGCCTCCCCAAAAATGAGACAAAACATCTGCATCATATAAACAATAAAAACACAAAATCTAAAACATATGAGCAATAAAATATCAAATGTAAGATTACATTATCAAAGCGATACGCTAAAGTCTGATTGTAAGTGAATGCAGAACAGTACTACAAGGAGTGTTTTCCATCCTCGTTGGACCAGAATGGAGCCAGGTGACAATGAGAGGACAATAGACCCTTTTACTGTTTGTAAACACTATGACGTCAGCGAGAGTGCGCGCGCAGCTTGGCAACAGAGAATGGCGTTGTTTCACGCTTTATCAAGCTACGCTGTGGGGTTATCACCGGCAAATCTTGAATGTATATTATTAAACTCACTTTAACGAATGGCAACAGACTCCTGGATCCCTGTGGCATTACGGAATGGGTGGAAGATGTAGGTGCGTGGCCAGATATCCAGTGGCCCAATATATATACGTTTTTAGTGGAGAGGGCCAGTAAGTACACACATGAGAAGCTATGGGCATACAAATGGTTACATGCATACAACTATGTTGTCTGTGGCCACGTACAGAAAGTAAAATATCACGACATAGACTCTGAGTTTTGCGTCTTGAAGGCAGAAGTCCTTCCTAGCCAAAGACAAGGACACAAGACTGCTACGTGCGAGGCTTGGGTCATAGTAAACAAACCAGAGAACTATGTCTTCGCAGCCAACTGTGCCTGCATGGCAGGATGAGTATAGCATAGGTTTCTTTTTTTAGCGTGCTCAAAGTACAATCGTGTTAATTTTAGAGAAATACAGTTTATACTAATATGCAGTGGGAATAAATGTAAATAAATAGACTGCTTAAAAGCAAACCAGCAAACGCAACTTACTTTATTTGATAGAACACATGTTAACCAGCTTTCTGGTGTAATCTTAGTACATAATTACCTTACCTGATATAAAATGGGCGCTACAAACTCGAGCATTTCAGATTGTGCTTTCAGTCCAGTTTTCATCAACCCTTTTGATGGCCTGCAGCCACAGACGCCTCTGATTTTGTTGAAATGGATGTGCTCCCTTCGGAATTCTGTAAAGTTTCAGTCCACTGCTTGAAGAGAAGCGATTCTGGCATCCATACACGCAACAACCCGACATTTTTATGTGCTCAGAACTTCAAAACAAAGGGTTTAAAACGCTGTTTTAGTATCGAGTGTGAATGAGGAAGCCTTCACTCTCATTGCCAGGCTGCACGTGCAACTTTTGATGATGTAGGTAGTAAAAGGGTCTATACACATCCCGGTACATAAAATGAAGTTTAAGTTACATAAACGTAGGTGAAATAAGATTATCACAGAACATGTAACCCAAAAACAAATATTGCTGCCCACCATTATCACCTAGGGGCAGCTAGCAAGAGACCTAGTTGCAGGTGAATACTTAATATCATGCTAGCCTGACCAAATTTAATCTCTTAATTGTGGAGTTTTATTGTGGATAATGAGGCGGGTATTTTTATTTATTTATGTATTTATTTGTTTATTTTAACTTTCAAAGATCACAGCGGCTGCAGTGCCGCCAGCAACAACCCCTGAACTACTTGCATTTCTCTCTTCCACTCATGTGCGCACGCACACACACACACACACGACGAGAGTCATCAATGGGCCAAAAAATTCAACCCGATGAAGCCAGAACCCAGCCTGGATGCAGAACTCTCAAGCCTCATGCAATGAGCGAGAGATGTATTTTTTCCTTACTTCACACACATCTGCATGAAACTCAGAGTCATGCTTCAACAGTAGAGAGGGATGAACATGCCTCAAATGAGACACCATGAGCGCATTATTATTCCAACAAAGTTTGTGTAAGAAAGCATAAAAAAACCAGAAAACAAGTGTTGCATGTGATGTCGGGTGAGCTGGGTTCAGGCTTCAAATCTGTCAGGTCATTTCAGTTAAATTTCTTGGCTCACGAGCTCAACAGAGCGTGGCCGCAGCTTTGTCTGAGTGACAGCTGTCGCAGATCTGATGTGATCAGTCTCTGCTCTTTCCCAGAGACAGGAGATAAAACTCAAAATGTTCCCACAGGACAGGCTATTGGAAAGGTTTGTAGTTAACTGGTTAGTTAGGGAGGTCCTTACGCTAGGTAAGCTAGCATTAAATCCTAATCCAGTCCACAGACACCTGCTGGTATTATTACCAAGCACATTTAGTTTTAAAGCGCACGTTGACAAGTAATTAGGCCTAATTTTAGTTTAATAACCTGTTTAAATTCACTAGAATGCAGGAAATTGTATCTAAGTGTTGTCCATATGTAACCTAGGCAACGCCGGAGCTGCAGAGCTCAGGCGTCACACCAGGGATTCGCAACGACACAGGTGGAGAGCGAGGGTGCAAGACCAGAGGGACAGAGACTAGCAGAGACTAGAGCCCTGCACTGGAGCCCTAGGCCCGGGGTCAGCCCGGCCCTTGGGCCGTCGGGCCGGGCTTCGGGTCAACGACTGTGTAATTACCTCGGACATGGCCGGGCGCCTTTATTTTTGATCGAATTCATTAAAAAAAACTGAATCAGTTGAACGCAGCAGCACCTGCCTGCTTCTCACGCACCCGTTAGCTCAGTTAAGGTCTGTGTGGTTTATAAATGCGCCTATATAAACAAATTCAAAACTGCTGATTGAAACATGTGCCCCTATTCTAATATGCCATTTTATGTCCACGTTGATATGGCAGAAACCATTCGTTTATTCTCATGAAAACGGCAGCATTCTATTTTTCTGTGAATAAATTCGCTCTTCAGTTAAAACAATACAGCATTCATTGCTGGGTTTTTTCTAACTGGAGAGCGCATTTTCAGAGCGGCAGATTAAATTTACAAACGCTATAATAATTGGGGGCGTTTATTGAATCTGCCGCTCTGAAAATGCGCTCTGCAGTTAGAAAATTAGAATGCTGCTTTTTTTTCTAATTGCACAAGAGCTCATTTTTAGAGAGGATTAAATTTACAAACGCATCCAAATAATATAGCTTTCGTAAAGGTCGGAAAATATGCTCTGTTAGAAAAAAAAGCTGCATTGAATGCCGGTTGTGTCACGGTTTGCCTCTGCAGTAACCCATTTGCAGGAATAAAGATCCTTTATCCAGAGTTCAAAAAAGATTTAATAAACAAAACTTCCTCCACTGACTGTGGGAACCAAAAACCAAAACCAAACTCAATCCATACAAGTACAACTCAGCAAAGACAACTCCACACTGATGACACACTGATGGCAGCAGTGGCCTGAAATAGGGTGAGGGCAATCAAGATGCTGCAGCACTCCAGGAGGTTCACAGGGAAGGGGAGGATTCCTGAGAGGAGCTGCAGCTGACCTGAACAAAAACAACAGAGAAAAAGTTAAACACAAACACAAAAAGGGGCGAATCATAACAGGTTGTTTTTTCTTTTTTTCTTTCATTTTTTTTACTGCAGAACTCTTCCCACAGATAATTAGAATGCTGAGATTCTATCACGCTAAAACATTGCGAAAGGTTAAAAAAAAATAAGTCGGGCTCGGGTCGGGCCAGAGAATCCTGAAAACCTTTACGGACCGGGTCGGGCTGGGGCTCCACCTTTTCGGGCCAGGCCGGACACGGGCTCAGATTTTAGGCCCGTGCAGGGCCAGAGAGCAGAAGTTTGTCTGCAACCTCTTTTATTAACTAAATAAAGCCCCAGTCTAAAAGTACATAAAACCTAAAAAAGTTCAAGTCCATAAAAGAAATGAAAACATGTTCCTCAAGAAGACCCGGAAGATACTTGGGCTCCACCCAGCATGGACGTAATTTTCACAGTCATGCCCACCTCTTCAGGTGACTTCATGTCAACAGTGGCAAAACAATCTAAACTAAACATGCACATAAAACCATCAACACACAACAAAATCATGCAATAACACAAAAAAGTTATTTAGAAATTCAAACAATTATTAAAAGATTTAAAGCAACAGAAAAGACACATTCCACTGTGTGACACACACACACACACACACACACACACACACACACGTCCGGTTTATTTTCTTTAAGACATTTTACAATTTCCTAGAATACCCCAGTTTTAATAAAGTAAATGTGCCTTTAATCAATGAAAATTGTCTCGGATAATGAATAAAAAGTGTACCAATGGAACTGTGCTTTGACGGATTTTGATCATATTTTGGTTTGTAGTAGCCTCTTAAATTAGTTCATAAAAGCAAGACGAATACATGTACACATTGGGTAACTGCACAGTGTAAGAGAAGTCTTTGTTTCTAGTAGTACTTTAAATATGGAACTGGTGGAGGCTTTAATTCTTGCCAGTTGTAGGTAGGTAGGTTGTAGTTGTTTCTGCACATACCTGTACTTATCGTTCATTTATCGTTATCGAGGTGAAGTCCTCAATATATCATGATATTAATTTTAGGCCAGATTGCCCAGCCCTATTAAATGGTAAATGGCTTGTATTTGATATAGCGCCTTCTAGAGTCATGGAACCCCTCAAGGCACTTTACAACACAATCAGTCATTCACCCATTCACACACACATTCACACACTGGTGGGGATGAGCTACGATGTAGCCACAGTTGCCCTGGGGCGCACTGACAGAGGCGAGGCTGCCGAGCACTGGCGCCACCGGTTCCTCCGACCACCACCAGCAGGCAACGTGGGTCAAGTGTCTTGCCCAAGGACACAACGACAGCGACAGACTGAGCGGGGCTTGAACCTGCAACCTTCCGATTACGGGGCGAGCACTTAACTCCTGATTTAAGTAACACTTATTTGCATAAATTAGGGTATAAAACTGTAAAAACAGGTTTGATTTGTTTCCTGGACACTAGGTGTCCTCAGCGATCCTCTTTCTGCTCCAAACCTGTTTCTCTTTTATTTACTACTGGTCCATCCTCATGAGTTTAGTGTCCTTCTCAGATGTGATTTTGTTGTTATTTTCAGCCAAAACACATTTTCTTCTCTTTGAATCATGTTTATTTTGATTTATATTCTTAAATCTGGAAACATTTCACATTTTCTGAAGTTTACATTGTTTATGAGCCTATATTTAGAGATTGTACATCACATCCGTCTCATTAGATCATTTAGATTTTTAAGCTGTGAAACTTTAGCTTTATGCAGTTTATTTTTACTTAAAATTTATTGTATTTGTATTCTTGCTGATTATTTGTGTTCTGTGTTAGAAAAATTTTACATTTGCTGTTATGACTAAAGAAATGTGGTTTCAAACATCTATATTTCTGATTGTTCTGCTGTAAACACCCTACTACTGTTTGTTGTAGTCGTGAATGCTCCGCAACAGCTGATCTGATCTCCTGCCCTGTAAGATCTAACCAGTGCTGTGTTTGCTGCTGCAGGGGGACTATGTGTGGTTGGACTTTAAAACTGGCCGAGAGTTTCACGTCCCAGTTGGAGCTGTGGTGAAACTGTGCGACTCTGGACAGATCCAGGTTCTGGATGATGAAGGCCGGGTTAGTCACCATGACTGTCCCTTTAACCTTGTGTTAGATTTTAATTTGGGGCAAAAGATAAAAATTAAAGTTTTGTTTTAGTCTATAAAGCCAGCCAGTGGAGAAGGAAAGTTTAAAAGGATGCTGAATGTTCTGAAAGCTGGTTTAGTTGCATTTCACACAAAATTTTGATGTCGTATTTTAAGGATTGGTCTCTGCTGATCATCTTTTGTTTTTTTCTTTTCTCTCATAGGAACACTGGATTTCTCCCCAGAATGCCACAAACATCAAACCCATGCACCCGACCTCCATCCACGGGGTGGAGGACATGATCCGACTGGGTGACCTGAACGAAGCCGGCCTCCTCCGCAACCTGCTCATCCGCTACAACGAACACGTCATATATGTGAGTTCAGTGAGATGGTATACAGAGTCTAGTCACCTCATGTGTTCCAAACGTCCTTTAAGATAGATCTATAAGTGAAACCTGAATTTCTGCTTTTATTTAAAAATACTGGAACAGTTTGGGAAGGAAAGCGCCATCATTATGATTGTAAATCTTCATCTTGTGTCTGTGAGTGCATGTTTGGATCTAATTCAGGTTAAAGGTGATATATTTGTATTTATTTTAATCATCTAATAATTATACATTTTATTTCAACAGCGCCTTTCTAAACACTCAAGGACACTTTACAGACAGAGATAAAATACACAATAAAAGATAAAACAGGCTAAAACAAACAGACAGATTGGAGCAAAGAGAGTAATTATTGGAATGCTAGATGGAACAGGTGGGTTTTGAATCTGGTTTTAAAGAGAGTGAGGGAATCAATGTTACGGAGGTCAGGAGGGAGTGAGTTCCAGAGCTGGGGAGCAGAGCGACTGAAGGCCCTGCTCCCCATAGTGACCAGACGGAAAGGTGGGACAGAGAGGTGGATGGAGGAGGAGGACCTGAGGAAACGGGTGGAGGTTGAAGGATGAAGGAGGTCTGAGAAGTACGGGGGAGCTAAGTTATGGTGGGCTTTGAATGTATATAGCAGAATTTTGAATTGGATTCTGGAAGTTACTGGGAGCCACTGGAGTTGCTGAAGAACAGGGGTGATGTGGTGGAAGGAGGGAGTTCTGGAAATGATGCGGGCTGCCGAGTTCTGGAGAAGTTGGAGTTTATGGAGGGATTTGTGAGGAAGACCGAAGAGAAGAGAGTTGCAGTAGTCAATACGGGAAGTGATGAGGCTGTGGACAAGGATGGCGACCGAGTGAGTAGTGAGGGCGTAGGCGGTTAATGTTACATAGATGGAAGTAGGCAGACTGGGTAATATTGTTTATGTGGGACTGGAAGGATAGTGAGGAGTCGAGGATGACACCCAGACTCTTGACCTGAGGGGAGGGGGAAACTAAGGAGTTGTCGACAGGAAGTGTAAAGCTGTGGATTTTGGATAGTAAAGATTTAGTGCCGACAAGTAACATTTCTGTTTAATCACTGTTAAGTTTGAGAAAGTTTGATGTGAACCAGTCTTTGATTTCAGATAAACAATTGGTGAGGGAGGAAGGAGGGAGTGAAGAGGAGGGTTTGGAGGATACATAGAGCTGGGTGTCATCCACGTAACAATGAAAATGGATGTCAAATTTACGGAAAATATTTCCCAGGGGAAGAAGGTAAGTGATGAAAAGGAGTGGACCGAGAACAGAGCCTTGGGGGATGCCAGTAGTGACAGGGAAGGGACGGGAAGTGAAGTGAAGGATTTGAGTTGAATAAACTGAGTACGGCCAGAGAAATATGAATTTATCTTAATCATCTAGTCTAGATTCTAGAACTTTTTTTCTCACTTGTTGTTTTTATTGTCAAAATTTGATTTGTGATGACTCATTTAAATGTAAAATTCATTTTTACTTTTTTTTTTTTACCAGTTTTGGTTAAGCTGCCAAATGAAGGATTTAAAAAAAATGTTTTTATTGTAAACAAGTTCCTCAGAAATACTGAAAAAGGTACATGGCCAAAACATCTGTCCATCCAAATTAAACTTTTGTGACTGGTCCATTCATTAATCCCTGTTTACGATTAGTGTTTATCTGATTTAGAAGACAAACGCTGCACATCAGAAACACGAGAAGAAAATGACTGATCCAGTCAGTAAAAAATGTAAAAGCTGTCCTAATAAACTAGCAGCAGTAATGTGAAGTCACTTTTTTTTATTGCCACAGACGTACACGGGCTCCATCCTGGTTGCAGTGAATCCCTACCAGCTGCTGCCCATCTACACTCCTGATCAGATCCGCCTCTACACCAACAAGAAGATTGGAGAAATGCCGCCGCACATATTTGCCATAGCGGACAACTGTTACTTCAACATGCAGCGGAACAACAAGGACCAGTGCTGCATCATCAGGTGTGTCTTTGGTCCTGTTTGTTAGAAATCCTCCAAAAAGAGGAGCCACCAAACAGTGAGATTTTTTTTAAGCTGACAGATAAAACATAATCAGGAGTGAAGAATTCCCACTCTGATTGATATTCACCCAAAAATGGACATAGAACATGCATTCCATCTCTTCTCCACTACCGGGTGTTATGCAGAGGTGTTTTACTCGTTAGAAATATTCTCACCTGTCTAGGTCATACTAAGGCATACCAGTCAAAGGCCTACTCCTCTAATTTAAAGGTATGATCATGAAAAATGAAAGCAAACTTGAACACTAAACTTAAAACTACAGAGTTTAAAGGGCAAATGAAGAGAAGTAGAACTATTTTTTGATAAAGGAACACATCTCTACATAACACCACGTAGTGAATAAGCGGTCTAAGTTTATTCTAGAAGTGGCAGAAACCGTAAAACATAAAAGAACTAGAGGTACGGGCTCTGTAATATGGGTATAAATATCAGCATTGAGCAAAACTAACACTCAATACAAGTCTGTGCTTGGCAGGGTGATTATTTTATGTTTTTTTAAACTTTAGAAGCTTTAATAATTATTTATTTTTTGTTAGAGAGCACAGCGTTTTACCACTTTTTGCAAGAGCTTCTCACACACATTATAAATCACATGGGACTAAATGAATGGGAGCCAGAGGGAATGTTTGTTTTAAAGTGACAATTTTCTTTTTCATTGTGTAACAGTGGGGAATCTGGAGCTGGGAAGACTGAGAGCACCAAGCTGATTTTGCAGTTCCTGGCTGCCATCAGCGGTCAGCACTCCTGGATTGAGCAGCAGGTGTTGGAGGCCACACCCATACTGGAAGGTCTGCTTTGATCTGCTCATTTTCCTGTTTGTGGTTTGGTCCAGTCCTCACAAACACTCAGTCACATTTCAATGTGCAGTATCTGTTGTTGTTGAAATATGATCGGTCACTCTGAACGAGAACATTTTCTCCAACCAACATTGTTGCATTAGCCGCAGAAAGGAAATGGACGGAAAAACGATTGCATCAGGGAAAGCCAATCTCTTCTACACAACAGGGAAAATTTGCATTCCTGGCCCCACCCATCTGGCTAATCCTTGGCAACTCCACAACATGGGGCAACACATTCAAACTTATGTTATTTGTGTAGATAAAATATCAATGGTGCATTTTGTTATCCAAGAAAGAAAAGCGAACAGACACCCAAAGTGCTGCATTGTTGTTAGCCAATCAGGGCTGAGATATTTGCAAATCATGAATATTAATGAGTAAGACTAGTAATCCTGTCATTTTCTACTCCCACTCCTACCAGAGCGTTTCCCACAGAAATCAACTCGCAGTCTACAGGCCACAGCAGATTTGTTTTTTAAATCTAGGGTTCTGTACAGAGGGAGGCCAGTTTGTTCTGATATCCATCCATCTTTTTTCTTCCTCATCACATCTTCCAGCTTTTGGGAATGCCAAGACAATCCGCAACGACAACTCCAGCCGCTTTGGGAAGTATATCGATATCCACTTTAACAGACGAGGGGCCATCGAAGGAGCTAAAATAGAGCAGTACCTGCTGGAGAAGTCTCGCGTCTGTCGACAGGTGAGGTGTTTGATGATCCCGTCGCTTTGCCTCAACTCCGAAAAGAAGTGGTAATGTTAAAGTAAATATAGGAATGTGCATGATGCAGCAACAATAACGATGGTTTCCTCTGTTCTGCAGGCTCCTGATGAGAGGAACTACCACATTTTCTACTGTATGCTAAAGGGCATGGGCTCAGAGATGAAAGCTAAACTGGGTCTGGGTCTCGCTTCGGACTACTCCTACCTCACCATGGTGGGACTTCTGAAGAGATTGTTTTCTAGTTGTGTATTGGGGTGAGAATTCGTCACTATAGCGTTTTTCTCCTGCATGTTGCAGGGTAAGTGCACCGAATGCGAAGGCCGAGACGACCTCAGCGATTATTCCAGCATCCTGTCAGCCATGAAGGTCCTCATGTTCACAGAGAAGGAGAGCTGGGAGATTTCCAAGCTCCTGTCTGCCATCCTGCACATGGGCAACCTGCGATTTGAGGGTGTGTAGACAAATGTTGGATGTATCAGGAGTCTTAAAGGATTATAAAGCACATTTTTCATCCCTGCAGCTCGTACGTATGACAATCTGGATGCCTGTGTGGTTGTGAGATCTCCTGACCTAGTGACTGCAGCTTCCCTCATGGAGGTGAGCACAACCACGTGCACGATGATCATCTGTAGAGCTGCCCTTTATGACTATGATCTGGACTACAGGTGGAGTCTAAAGATGTGATGGTGTGCCTGACCACTCGAACCCTCATTACACGAGGTGAAAGCGTCACGACGCCTCTCAGCATGGAGCAAGGCCTGGATGTCAGGGACGCCTTCGTCAAGGTGTGCATCTCTCCTAAGACACCTGCATTTGGTGTCTCTGAGCAGAAATCACAATCATGATCACATTCTTTTTTTGTGCAGGGCATCTATGGGAGGCTGTTTGTGTGGATTGTAGATAAAATTAACGCTGCCATTTTCCGACCTCCTTCCTGTGAGAACAGCATCATCAGACAGTCGATCGGACTGCTGGACATTTTTGGTTTTGAGAACTTCATTGTTAACAGGTGATGTGTTTTGATTGAAATAGCGTAAAGTTGTCTTTCCATGATCTGACGTTCCATCTCAAATCCAGTTTTGAGCAGCTGTGCATCAATTTCGCCAACGAGAACCTGCAGCAGTTCTTCGTTCGTCACGTCTTCAAATTGGAGCAGGAGGAATATAACCTGGAGGACATCAGCTGGCAGCACATCGAGTTCACTGACAATCAGGAGGCTCTGGACATGATCGCCAACAAACCTATGAACATCATCTCCCTCATTGACGAAGAGAGCAAGTTCCCCAAGGTACAGCAGGAGGAATGTGATATCTATTGGATTTGAATGCTCAGTAACTGATTTGTAGATCTTCATCTTTTGTCAGGGAACAGATGCAACAATGTTGTATAAACTCAACTCGCAGCACAAACTCAACTCCAACTACGTTCCTCCTAAAAACAGCTACGGAACCCAGTTTGGGATCCAACACTTTGCTGGAGTAGTCCATTACGAGTCTAGAGGTACGTTATGTTTTATGGTTTGAAGCACATGGTGGGTTTTACTTTGAAAAGAAAAAAGTTGATGAAACTGTTAAAACTTTGAAACAACACAAGAACAAAGAAAATGTGTCTTCATGGAAAAATAACTAGTGATGTAAGAAAATATCAATATGGCGATACATTGCGACATTTTTTCCTGCGATATATCAATATTTAAAAGCCAGGTATCGAATTTTTGGAAGAATTGAAATGAAAACATTTTTGTATTTTATTTTGGTGCAATTCAAACGCCGAGCGCTATTTAACGGCAGCATGCAATGGGTTTTGTTTCCACCACTGAAATGTATATGCCTCTATTATGGTTCAGATACTTCATGTTAAACATGTTATGTATCACTGTTTGAATTTTCCTACAATAATTTCAGTCTAAAAAAATCTCTAATGTTGTCTGGCTGAATGTATCACAATATATCGTATTGTCCTCCCTGTATCGTAATGTGTATCGTGTCGTCAGAATTTCACCAATACACATCCCTAAAAGTAACAGTTAAAAAGGAAACTTTTGTCAAACAAATTGTGCTTTATTATGAAGATGTAATCCACATAAAAAACTCTAGTTTTTATGTCTAATTTTACCTATATTTCCCTGTAATTAAACATAAATTTTAAAACGTACTGAATAAATAGAAATAAATCAGCATCAGAGTCAAAAAATAAGTCCCAAAACTGCTTTAAAAATGCTTTTAGAGAAACGATCTTGTATTACTTTCGTCTTGCTTATTTAGGTTTAGAACTTCCTATGATGTTTTAAATCAAGTGTGTGTTTTCAAACTTTTTTAAATAAAATGATATCAAGTCCCAAATTTCATTTTAATTCATTCTTTTTCTTTTTTTCAGCCATAAATAATAGAAATGTTTTTAGTTGTTTTTAATCCCAATGAACATGGACTAAGAGACAAATGGGGAGAGGAAAGAAAGCGGTGTGTGGAGGTGTTCCACAAAAAAGGATGCACATGAATTAGCTTCTAGGCCTGCAGAAAGCAAGAAAAAGGGGACACACAAAAATACAACAGAAAGTTTGGGGTGATATTACCAGACATATTAGCAAGAAGGGATTCTCATTAGCACTACAACCTATAATACAAAATCAATCCTTTCCTCCTGGTGTAAGAAAAAGTTTCTTCAATGATTGGCACTCAAGAGGGCTAAGATTCCTGTCTGATTTACTTGAAAATGGTAATTTTATGTCATTCTCACAGCTCCAGGCTAAATACCAAATACCACACTCTCACTTTTACGGTTTTCTCCAGGTCAGACATATGGTACAGTCCAATATGTCACTCTCTGCAGAACTTCCTCCTTAATTTTAATCGGACTGGATACTTTTTAAGACAGTGGACTCTATTTTAAACGTCAATGAGCCCCTTGCGATTGAGTACACCATTGAGTCATGTAACAATCTTTTGGACTTCTTTTTGGACAAGGTAAGGGTGACAAGGGCCTCTATTCCACCACTTAAGCATGACCACTCTGCAGATCTCTGTGTTCCAAGGGCACTGGAGGGTTTTCAACCATTAACTCTTGCAGAGCTTGAGGATCTGGTCATGAGACTCAAGCCAACAGGGGGCGTTAACTGATGTTCTCCTGGCAAGGCAATAGACAGAAGTTTTTCCTGTAGTGGGTGACCATGTACTGCAAATTGTAAATAGCAGCTTGCTATCTGGGGAAGTCCCTATTTCCCTAAAACAGGCGGTAGTACGAACTCTGCTAAAGAAACCAGGACTGGACCCAACAATCTTGTCTAATTTCAGACCTGTATCAACACTCCCTTTCATCTCAAAAACCATAGAGAGTGCTGTGTTTATCCAACTGATGTCTTTTCTACAGGAATGAGGAATTGGAGAAGTAGTTCATTCTGGGTTCAAACCCTTTCATAGCACTGAATCTGCATTGCTGAAGGTTCTTGATGACATTTTATTGGCTAATGATTCCAGTGATGCTGTGGCTCTGGTGCTCTTGGACTTGACATCAGCCTTTGATACCATTGATCATAGTATCCTAATAAACCGGCTGGAGCGGTCTGTGGGCATTATGGGCCAGGCACTTAAGTGGATAAGATCATACTTGACAGGGAGGAATTTTTGTGTGAGGTTGGGGGACTGTTCCTCCGACCTGGCTGAGCTGCCTTGGGGAGTGCCCCAGGGATCGATTTTGGCCCCGCTATTTTTCTCCCTATATCTTCTATCCCTGTGTGACCTATTCCGCAAGCATGACGAGTCATTCCATTTATATGCTGATGATTGCCAGGTCATTTTTCCAATTAGGCATGGTGGTTTATGCACCATTCAACCTTTGTTGGACTGCCTGGAGGACATCAAGCTATGGTTGGCTCAGAACTACTTGTGTTTCAACAAAAACAAGACTGAAGTAATTATCTTTACTCCACCAAAGACCCTAGGAGGTGCCCAAGGGCTTGATTTTTCCACACTGGCACCGCATCAGAAGGCGGTGGTCACTAACCTAGGAGTAAAGTTGGATGCAGAGCTCAGATTTGAGGCTCAAGTGAACGGAATTGTGAGATCTTGCTTCTTTCATCTACGCCGTATAGTGAAAATTAAGCCATTTCTGTCACGTAGTCATTTGGAAACTGTGTTCCATGCCTTTGTTACCTGCAGGCTGGATTATTGCAACTTGCTATATGCAGGGCTTAGGCAAGCTCCAATAGCACGCCTCCAGGCGGTTCAGAACTCGGCTGCTTGGTTGTTAACATCTACCAGGAGGTCTGAACAAATTACACCAGTCCTACGTGCCCTGCATTGGCTCCCTGTCTCCTATCACATCAGGTTTAAGGTATATCTGTTTGTGTTTAAGGCGTTAAACTCAGGGGCACCTAAATACCTGTCAGACATCATCCACCGACATGTACCGGTGCGTTCCCTTAGGTCAGCTGACCAGAGACTATTAACCGTGCCCAGGTACAGCCTGAAGTCTCGTGGGAGTCATGCCTTTTCAGTGTTCGGACCAAGTCTTTGGAATGAGCTGCCAATCGACGTAAAGCAGGCCAAATCACTGGAGACCTTTAAAGGCCGACTAAAAACACATCTGTTCTCGTTGGTGTTTGGACATTGAAGTTGGGATTGCGTGGGCAGCATCACTTTGAATGTGTCTGGATCTGATTCTGGAAACAGTACTGATATGGATTGCGACCTTGTACTCGGAATTTCTTATTGTATTTTAAATGGATATATGTCTGTTTTATTGTTGTGCTTGTTATTGGTGTACAGTGCTTTGTTTGTCCATTTTGGGCATGTGAAAGCGCTTTATAAATAAAGTTGATTTGATTTTTCTTCTAACAACAGGAAATTTATTTCACTTTTTTATGAAAAGTTATTCTCCCTTAATTGTTCTAGTAGTAACAGAAGTATGGAGTCCTGGGAGAAGGATCTGGAAATCAAGATTGATAGTGATATGTGGTCAGAAGTATTTGAATCTGCAAAAAAAAATGTTAATATGTAATAGACTCAGAGAGAGTCAATACAGGATATTACACCAATTGCAGCGTACACCTTATTTTTTCAATAAGATTAACCCCCAAATTTCTCCCCTTTGTGGGAAATGTAGGAAGGAAGCGAGGACCCATTATCATTGTACTTGGAGTTGCCCCTTGATATCCAGGTTTTGGAAGAATATCTCTCTGGAGCTTAGCTCAATTTTTCACAAAACAGTAAAACCAGAGCCAGTCTTGTTTCTTCTCAATCTTCCTCTCGGGCAGCTTCCTATGTCTACAGGGCAAGTGCTGTTAATGGGCAAACTTTTACTTTTAGCAAGGCAATGTATCCTGTTCCAGTGGATTAAGGACAAACCACCTTCAGTTACACAGTGGTACAGAGAAATATTTAAGGTTCTCCCTCTGGAGCATCTCAGTGCTACATTAAGAGGAAATACCTATTTGTTTTATAATATTTGGCAACCCTTTCTTGACCATATCCCCGGTGACCTTGCTGATTTGCTGCAGAAGGGAAGAGCACATTTTATTTTCACTAATTCATAATCATGTCTAATCCCCCCCCCCCCCCCCCCCCGTATTTTTTTTTCCTACTACAAGATATGTAGCACATGATGTGCAATTTGTACACGGAAGACCTGACTGTAATATGTCGGCGACTGCTGTGCGAGGTGGATCTGTTTGTGTTTATATAAAATTAATAAAATGAATTACCAAAAAAAACAACTAAACCAAGATATCACAGCGCCAAACATAAGGATGTATAACGTAGCAATTTTAGCTGAAAAGCTAAATAATTATAATTAATTAATTCGTGCTGCATTTAGTGCCAACCACAGCCCAAGGTTATGAGTCAAACACCAGTCCATACTTGTGAAAACACCATGTGAGCACCTGTGTGCGTACATACGCTTGTGAATGTAAGGTTTCCTTACAGGAGTGTTAAAACCTAAAGTTTAGTCCAGAAGTATAAAATGAAATAATCTCCTTCTGCTCCTTCAGGGTTCCTGGAGAAAAATCGCGACAGCCTCCACACTGACATCATCCAGCTTGTTCATTCATCCAAGAACAAATTCATCAAGCAGATCTTCCAGGCTGACATTGCCATGGTAACCAGTCACCCTCTCCAGCGACCTTTACTTTCTCCTCTGACCTGTTCTCACTCTACTGTCTCTCCTGTGTTGTTTTTTCATTTACACTTTTATCAGTTTCTCTGTGGCTATCAGCAGCCCAGCACTCCTACTCCCAAGGTAACTCAACAGTCTGGTGTTCATGTTTCCTTCTGCTGTGTCCTTCACTTCCTCAAACCTTCTTTTTACTCCACTGGTTTGTTGTTGGAAGACCCAGAGGAAATGTGGTGCTGATGAAAAACACTTACTGTTTCCTGTTGTGCCTGTGTGCGGTAGCCATAACCTTGTGTTGTGTAACTTAACAGATGTGTGTGAAGACTCGTCTTCAGCCTAACGAGAAAACAAATTCAGTTAATGTTGAGGATGTTTATGTGATCTGAAAACCGAATCCTTTAATCCTGTTAAAATGATAAACCGTGTTTCTATGAAAAGAATCAAACAAACTAAGGAAATGTAGCTTCGATAGCTGAAACACATTTTGATGCAAAGTCTGCGAGAACAAACTTGTTTTAGAGCCATTTCACATCATTTTGAAATCATTAGATCATATTCAAGAACTGATCAGTGATGCTTTAATCATCAAATGATTCTCCCCAGACCTGGAATTATTCAGCTCAAAGAAAAGTCTGTTTACTTTAAATAAATGTGGGCTATTTAAAAAGAGGCAATGTCTCAAAATGATCATTTTCTGTTAAACTGTTGACACATTTTTTTAAATCAAATTCAATCAGGAGCTCTGGCAGTGGCATTTTTTATGGAGGTAGTGACTTCTCCACGTTTAATTTTTTTTTCTTTCATATATATATATATATATATATATATATATACTGTATATATACAGTATATATATATATATATATATATATATATATATATTTTATATATATATATATATATATATATATATACATTTTTTTTTCTATTGGGAAAAAAAGTCCACAACTTCTTCAAAAGTCACAAATCCAGGGCATTCCCTGGCCAGGTGAGAGACATAGTCCCTCCAACGTGTCCTGGGTCTACCTTTAGCCCTCCTCCCAGTTGGACGAGCCCGGAAAATCTCACCAGGGAGGCGTCCAGGAGGCATCCTGACCAGATGCCCGAGCTGCATGTCTTGGACACTCAGGTGAAGAGAGGGGCAGAGCTGTCAACTGACCACTACCTGGTGGTGAGTTGGCTCAGATGATGGTGGAGGACCGGTCCGACCAGGCAGACCCAAACGTATCGGAGGGTCTGCTGGGAACGTCTGGCAGAGTCTCCTGTCAGAAGGAGCTTCAATTCCCACCTCCGACAGAACTTCCAAAATGTTCCAGGGGAGGCGGGGGACATTGAATCTGAATGGACCCTGTTCCGTGCCTCCATTGTTGAGGCGGCCAACCAGAGCTGTAGTCGCAGGATCGCCTGTGCCTGTCACGGCGGTAACCCCCTAACCCGCTGGTGGACACCGGCAGTTAGGATGCTGTCAAGCTGAAGAAAGAGTCCTATCAGGTCTTTTTGGCCTGTGGGACTCCAGAGGCAGCTGACAGGTACCGGAAGTTCAAGCGGAATGAGGCTCGGGTGGTCGTGGAGGCAAAAACCCTGGCGTGGGAGGAGTTTGGTGAGACCATGGAGCAAGACTTCCATACAGCTTCGAGAAGATTCTGTCAACCCTCCGGCACCACACGAGGGGAAAGCAGTGTGCTACCAACATTATTTATAGTGGGGACAGTGTGCTGCTGACCTCTACTCAGGACGTTGTGGATCAGTAGGCAGAGTACTTCGAAGACCTCCTCAATCCCACCGACACGTCTTCCAGTGAGGAAGCAGAGTCTGGGGACTTTGGGTTGGCCTCTCAAATCTCTGGAGCTGAGGTCACTGAGGTGGTAAAAACACTCCTCTGTGGCAAGGCTCCATGGGTGGATGAGATCCGCCCGGAGTTCCTTAAGGCTCTGGATGTTGTGGGGCTGTGTTGGCCAACGCGGCTCATCAATATCGCATGGACATCGGGGGCAGTCCCATTGGACTGGCAGACCGGGGTGGTGGTTCCCTTATTTAAAAAGGGGGAGGGACCACAGGGTGTGTTCCAACTACAGGGGGATCACACTCCTGAGCCTTCCAGGTGAGGTCTATTCAGGGGTTCTGGAGAGGAGAGTCCGTCGGATTGTCGAACTTCAGATTCAGGAGAAGTAATGTGGTTTTCGTCCTGGCCGTGAAACACTGGACCAGCTCTATACCTTAGGGGGATCCTAGAGGGTGAGTGGGAATTTGCCCAGCCAATCTACATTTTAAAATCATTAAATATTTTTATTATTGAATTATTTTGCATAATAGTTAAAGGTATAGTGGAGGATGTTTCTGAATTTCAGAAAAGAACCACCCTCTCCTTGTAAAAAAAAAAAAAAAAGAAACACCCATGAGAAAGAATGCCCAGCTTTCTTAATCACAAGTAGCTGCCGGCCTTGTGGCCTACTTCTAGCAGTAATCTGAAATGAATTTATCCAAATAGCATGCCAAACTTTAGCTTACTTGTTGAGCAGAAAACCGGCAACAGAGGCGTCTGTGTGGAGCCCAACCTTCGCTTAGCGCAAGCGCAGGAAGTGAAAACTACCCAGCAAGGTACGACATACAACAGCCTTGCTTGAATGGTTCACCAGAATGATTGACAGTGACCAATGGTTCCGATGATCCAACTGGAAGAAAAATATCCTTTGCTATAGAAAGACTAAGTCATGCCCACCTACTTACGCATCATGGAAGAAAGAAAAAAATAAATGCAAGTCTATGGGGCTAAATACACTATTTTCTAATTCCGCTTGTTTTGTGCCATCGATTCACATATGATATCCGTGAATTTTAAAGACACATTTTGATACCAAGAACGTGCTTATTTTCGAACAGGGGGAAACGCTATTTTAGATTTTGTGTGAAAATAAGTCCAGGAATACAAATGCGCTTCATGAAAGTGACGTCATCGAACCAGACACGGAGAAAACTGAGGGAAAAGGGCTGTAAATTCAACAAACTTCCCACAGGAGGAAAGAACCACCATTGATCTGGTCATGTGGTAAGTAGCAACTACGCTAGGGGAGATGAGATTATGTGGTGAAGACACATATTCCACGTGCCGATTTCTAGTGTGTAGTCATGCTAATTACGAACTTTTACAAGCTAATAAATCTCAAAGTACGTGACTGGCGTGGTTGAAACACACATCATTACTTTTAGTTTAAATTGCAGTACAACATATGTGCAATCCAGGGCGTAAGGCAAAGCGGATTAGAAAATAGCATTTTTAGCCCCGTTGACTAAACTTGCATTCATTTTTTCGTTCTTCCGGAGACCAGTGATGCAGAAGTGAATTAGGCTCCCTATATCTTTAAACATGTTTAAAGTTTTGAAAAACCTTCTGAGAAAAGCCTTTTGATTCTCCATACATAACTTTTATTTTGTACACAACCTTTACAGACTGAATGCTTTTTCTTTTTTTTTTTTTTTTTTGGAATTGTTTTTAAATTGGAATTAAATTTTGACATTTCATTACATTTAAAAATGAAACTTTTTTATTTTAATGTTTCTATTAATTTTTTTTTTTTACTCCTTTTTAAATAATTTCTTTCTGACAGTTTTGTAACAGAGTGTAAGCAGTTTATTTATTTTTAGTGTATTTGTGCTTTCTATTGCAGGGTGTTGAGACGAGGAAGCGTTCTCCCACTCTGAGCAGCCAGTTCAAACGTTCTCTGGAGATGCTGATGAGAACCCTGAGTGTGTGTCAACCATTTTTTGTTCGCTGTATCAAACCCAACGAGCTCAAAAAGCCAATGGTGAGCTAGCTCCTTCTCTCTGTTAAAAACTAGGCCTATTTCAGATTTTTTTTTCCCTGTTAATGCCTTTTCTTACTTACATTTTTGTTCTTGTGTGTTTTTCTTCAGTTGTTTGACAGAGAGCTGTGTATTCGTCAGCTGCGCTATTCCGGAATGATGGAGACCATCCGGATCAGGAGGGCAGGTTATCCCATCAGATACAGCTTTGCTGAGTTTGTGGATCGCTACAGAGTTCTAATGCCTGGCATCAAACCTGCTCACATACAGGTCATTAACATAAAACATGTATTTTTAGGTTTTATATGGAGTCCCTGATAGGCCGGGGAGAAAGAAAATCTGTTGCCTTTCTTCAGGGTTTTTTGTTGCTTTTGCTTAGGCCCTGAAGGGCAAAGGGGGAAATTATTTTCTTTTGTGTAAATTTTTCTCAAACCCAAAGAAGGAAAAAAAAAATTGGAAAATTTAGGCGAGAGAAAAATTACTTTTCACCATGCCTTAGCAAAAGAAGACTTAGGAAAAATAAACAAATCTCTTATTTTTTCTTGAGTTTTGGATGAAAAGTGATCAAATAAAACCTTTAATCTAGATTTTTTTTATTACATGCAGATGACTTTAAAGTTGAGAGCAAACAAAAATTTGGTCAGAAAGAAAATGTCTTAAAAATGTGTTTTCCCCCGTGCCATTCCGGGCTTCCATAGTTTTGACATATATGCCCAACCGATATTTTTCCCTCATTGTGTAAAACAGTTACCGTCCTATGAAATGTCACTTTAGCCCTTTAACTGGCTGAGCAATGATTGTCTCCATCTTATTTTAAAATGTACAGAACAAATGGAAAAAACACAAAAAATAAAAACATTTCAGAAAAAGGTTCATTAACTGCACACATTATATTTTAACATCTTTATACATATCATATGCATGTATATTAAACACCCTTAGTGTCCCAAATGAACAAAAAATGCACAAAAGGTTCATTTTTCTTGGTGTGGAGGTTAAAGGGTTAACAGTGTTGGTTCCATCCAGGAGGACCTGCGGGGAACCTGCCAGCAGATAGTCTCAGACCGACTGGGTAAACACGAAGACTGGCAGATCGGAAAAACTAAGATTTTCCTAAAGGTTGGTTTCTGGATCCTGAGGAAAAAATTATGTTTGATGCTAAAAATTACCAAATATTCCAGTGAGCTTCCATTTTTCTTCACCTGTGATATTTAATCCTCTTTAAAATAGATAATTTTATTTCGAGTTAGCTGCAGTTTCTCTATTTAAACTCTGGAATCTGATCAAATGTTTTAATTTCAGTTTAAATTCTGAAGTAATTTTACAAGTTTCGTGCCATGTGTAAAAAAAATGTCTCCATCCTTTTAAGCACAGCATAACTAAAAGTAGTCCTGTAGGCATGAATTGATTTCATCTATCGTATTTAATCAGGACCATCACGACATGCAGCTGGAGATCGAGCGAGACAAAGCCATCACCGACAAGGTCATCCTCATCCAGAAGTCCGTGCGTGGACTGAAAGCAAGGCAGGTTTCAAGGACTCGTTTAATACCATTCAAAGAGTTGTTTCAACTTTAAAACAGTGAATCATTAGGACTCTAGGGGGTGCTTAAAGTAAGAAAAAACAGCAGAGTTCCTTTAATGTAACCAAATTGGATTTACTTGTTTTACAAGAGCAGAGACGTTGAGTATATTTTAGACTTTCCAGGGAGAACTAATGGTGTAAAGCAGACTATTGATTATTCGGACATATCTGGCCAAACGTTTTAGAAGAGGAATTCATCAAAGATGCAGCCCTTTGGTCCTCGATGGGCATTAAATCAGCTGAGAAATGTAAATGTGATTAGGTCCGTACAGTTTGGGATAGAATAATTAAAGCAGTATCATTGCAGATTAAGGATATTACGGGTTTTCCCAATTGTTTACACATATTTTCTGAAAGCATGCCTCGTATTGTCAGAACTATACAAACAAATCAATAAACATGCACACAATGGGCAGAACCCTTAAATTCTCCTGTAAAATGAAACTCTACATTCAAAACAATGTAAGTTCTTCTCAGAATGGTATTTTGTTTTCAAATGACACACAAACCATCACGAGTAGACATTTATAAGAACTAGTTGAACACTGACTATTTCTTCTCCAGTCATTATAATGACTTCCTGTCAGCCTTTTTGTGTTCAGTGTTGCACTTATTGTACTACAAGCCTACATACATGCAGAAGGTCTGTTTACACATTGTGTTATGTATATGGCATGTATTTGTGTCATATAAGACAGCAGGGAAATATTGCTTAGAGTGACCAATCCAGCCATGAATAGCATCAACTGCTATATCTCCACAAGCATCTTCTATTGTGTGTTTAGATTTTGGTCATACACTATAGCCAAACAAAAAAAAAAAGAAATGTCTCAATAGGATTGAGGAATGAAGAATATTGAGGGAGATAAACAACTAAAAAGTGTGGCTGGGCAGTGAACCAGTAACGAACCAGAGCAGCCCAGTAGAAACTTGCGTTGTCCCAAACGACAACAACCTTGAGCTGTTCTGAACCGTCTACCTGATTTGGTGGAAGGAGTGTGTTGTGTAGGACGTCCAGGAGTGATCAGATGGACAGTATTGTAGGGGCCAAGGCTAGCATGGAGATGGATGACACTATGGTTAAAAATTACTGCTTTCATTTCTTAATCGTGTTGATATGTAACAGGTGTTAACCCATGTGGTGAGTTGGTGTGCAAAGTAGGACTGACTTTACAGTTTTGAATGACAGAGCTGTAAAATGAAGATATTCTCCATGAAAATTGTGCCAAATGCAGAGTTGTGTGTAGTGTTTTGACAAAGGTTTGTTTTAAAGCTGCAGATTGAGTGTAAAGCATGGCTTGTGCTTGTAGTTTAGCAGAATTGGTTCAGAATTCTTTTCAGTACAGTTGCCAAACTTACACAGAATCATAGCTCTGAACCATCTATTCCCTTAGCCCTCAGCAGCAATGACTTCATGGGATTTTTCACAAGTAAAATTAATTATATTAGAAACAAAATCTTTAGCATCCTCCCTAATGCGATTTCTTCTTCCTCAGTAAGTGAGGCAGTATCAGAGGTAACTGTAGAACCTTATCTGTGTTTGAACCGTTTTGATCCAGTTGAGCTTTCGGAGTTATCAAAAATAATAGCTTCATCTAAACCTTCCACTTGCATTTTAGATCCAATCCCAACCAAATTATTTAAAGATGAATTTCCTTTGGTTACTGCCCCCATTCTAGATATAATCAATCTATCCTTAGTAAATGGATATGTACCACAGGATTTTAAGTTTGCTGTAATCAAACCTTCACTTAAGAAGCCTTCTCTGGATCCAGATGACCCAATGAATTATAGACCAATATCTAACCTTCCATTTTTATCCAAAGTCCTGGAGAAAATACTGGCCATCCAAGTATGTGAGCATTTAAACACAAACGATCTGTTTGAGGAATTTCAGTCTGGTTTTAGAGAGTATCACAGCACTGAAACTGTGTTAGTGAGAGTTACAAATGATATTCTCATGGCCTTGAATAAGAATCCTGTGTCTGTTCTAGTCTTGTTAGATCTCAGTGCTGCCTTTGACACAGTAGATCACAATGTTCTTGTAGAAAGGCTTGAACATGTTGTAGGGATCAAAGGAACGGCGCTAGGCTGGTTTTAATCCTACCTGTCTGATAGATTTCATTTTGTAAATGTACATGACAAATCTTCTTCATACTCCAGGGTTACTTATGGAGTACCACAGGCTTGTTTTGAGGACATAAAAAATTGGATGACCCTAAACTTTTTGCTTTTAAATCAAGACAAGACTGAAGTTCTCATCTTTGGACCTGAAATCCAGAAAAGGAAATGGCTTAGTCAATCACCTGACCTGAATGGCATTATATTTATCTCTGAGAATAAAGTAAGGAACCTTGGTGTTATTTTTGACCAGGACATGTCATTCAAATCCCAGGTTAAACAGGTTTTTAGGATTTCCTTTTTGCACCTTCGGAATATTGCTAAGATTAGAAGCATCCTTTCCAGGAGTGATGCTGAAAAAGTAGTTCATGCATTTATTACATCAAGACTGGATTACTGTAATTCATTACTCTCAGGAAGTCCACAGAATGTAGTTAAAAGTCTTCAGCTTGTCCAAAATGCTGCATCTAGAGTTTTGATGAGAATTAAAAAGAGAGATCATATCCCTTCTGTCTTAGCTTCCCGACATTGGCTGCCTGTTAAATTCAGAATAGATTTTAAGATCCTCCTTCTCACATATAAAGCTCTTAATAATCAAGCTCCATCATACATCAGCAACCTGATTGTTCCATATGTTCCTAACCGAGCACTTCGCTCTCAGACTGCAGGTTTACTGGTGGTTCCCAGAATATCTAAAATTAGGATGGGAGGCAGATCTTTTAGTTATCAGGCTCCTCTCCTGTGGAACCAGCTCCCAGCCTTAGTCCGTGAGGCAGACACCTTGTCTACTTTTAAGTCTAGGCTTAAAACATTTTTATTTGATAGGGCCTATGGTTAAAATCTGATGCTAGCCTAGATCTGGACAAGTGGGGGAGTAGAGGGAGGTGGAGTGTACAGAAGATAAAGACGGCTCTCCCTTGCCCTGCCTCCAACATGCCTCCTTCTAAAAGGCTAGGTTATCCAGAGTTATCTCTGTAGTTATGCTGCTATAGGCTTAGACTGCTGGAGGATACACTGACCACTTTTCACACTCGACTATTTTCTTCTACAATCTGCTCTTTAACGGTATTATTTCCTGCAATTTCAGCTGTTAACTTTATTTTTTCTCTAAGTGTTTTTCTCCCCAGAAGAAGCTACAATGATGTTCTGCTGAGCTGTGGTGGCCTCATGGAGGGGACCATCGTCTAGCACACTGCTGCTAACCACTTAAATATTCTCCCTCTCCTGATAATAACTTTTTGCTTTCCCTGACGTTGGATGTGCTACTGCTAGTTTACCCGTTTAACAATAGATTCACTAGGATAAATACAATAAAGTTTATCTCTCGCCAAATAGAATATTTACTAAGCAATCACAATGTAACCATAGACACATTGCTGTGTGTGTGGGTGTGTGTGTGTGTGTGTGTGTGTGTGTGTGTGTGTGTGTGTGTGTGTGTGTGTGTGTGTGTGTGTGTGTGTGTGTGTGTGTGTGTGTGTGCGTGCGTGCGTGCGTGCATGCGTGCCTCCACTGTGCGTGCGTGCCTCCACTGTCACTTTATGCTTGCTTAGTATGAGGATTGCTGTTAAGACACTGACACTAGTCAGTGACTTGATGCAATTTGTGCGGTTCCTTATATAGGAAACATTTTTTCTGATTGGCTTAATGAACTGACCTGGATTGGAATATGTGAAGTGCCTTGAGATGACTCTTGTCGTGATTTGGCGCTATATACATAAAATTGAATTGAATTGAATCAAAGCTGCAGATTGAGTGTACAGCATGGCTTGTGCTTGTAGTTTAGCAGAATTGGTTCAGGGAGTTGGTGCATCACTTACATGTAGTAGTCATTGTGTTAGACATACAAGGAATTCTGTGTTAACAACTAGGAAAAACTGTAAAACAAACTAAATGTATTTTACACATTTTAGTTTCTTAAAAGTCTTCATTCAGCTCTCAAAGCAGGTTTTAAATCTAAATGTATGTTTTCATCACAGAACAAACTTCCTTAGACTGAAGACAGCTGTGATTTTCATACAGAAGCTCTGGAGGGGTTATCGAAACAGGAAGAATTACCAAATTGTGAGTAAATTGTGTTCTAACTTATCTTTATATCTCTAAACTGTAAAAATTAAGTGGGATTTCTCCATATTTGCCACATAGTGTGTTATAACGAGATGTGCAAATTGCTTTTCTCCTCCAGATGAAGTCTGGCTTCATCCGTCTGCAGGCGGTCTGCAGGTCCAGGAAGCATTACAGAAGCTACCGGATCACTCGCCACCGGATTACTCTGATCCAAGCCCGCTGTCGGGGCTTCCTCATCCGACAGGCGTTCGGGCAGCGTCTCCAAGCTGTGCTGACCATCCAGGCCTTCACCAGAGGAATGATAGCCAGACGCCTCTGCCAGAGGCTCAGGGCCGAGGTAAATGACCATTATGTTTATTATTGCTACTTCTACATGTTTGTCGACACTCCAGAAAGGGAGGGCTTCTGGTTCTGAAGCCAAACTGGGAGAAAACAATCTGCTTTAAGATCACCCAAGATTTATGCTATTTAGCCTTTTTAGAGGCATTTATGAGGAGGAAACCATAGTTTAACCTTTCTGAGTCCTAACTGTTTATTTTCTCCTTCTGGTCTGTTTTCTTTTCCTTTATAGTGAAATAATCCCTGCATTTATTAGTTATGAACTCCTGTCTGTCCTGCATCTGCTCTCGCCTTTCTGTGGCTTTGCTACAGCTTTCCTTTATGTGGTGCTTCTTTGTGTGACACTGGAAATTTATTTTCTGTCCAAATGAAGGTTTGGCTGCAACAAAAGAGCAATTTCTTTTTTCTTTTTTAATTTCACACTTAATTTTTAACAGAGATTTTTTCCTTTGTTGTGGGAAAATGCAACTTTGCAGTGTTAAATGAGCTTATAGCTGCATACAGACAGGAGTATTTATGCTCTGTGATTCTAAAAAGGTGCATTAAAATCAACAAATGCCAAATCATTTTAAAAACCTAAGGGATTAACTGTTAGAAAAATATAAATGTTTTTATTTTGAAAAATGAAATTAAATCTTAGTCTTTCTTTCAAAGTTTGAAGAATAGCTTCAAGTACTACAAAAAAAGGTGAACCTTCAGAAATACTATAAATATTTTCTGCCTTTATTTATATATTTTTAATGTGTGTTGAATATGATTGTAGAAGGAATGTCATTGATTGTTTTGCAGATTTAAAGCCTCAAATGTTACCATTTTGTTTTTTTATGGCCGTGTTTGAATTATTAATGGGAGTTTAAGAGATTAATCTGTAAATTATACAAAGTTGTAAATTTCGAGGTTATTTTGGAGAAATTCTATGGAGCCCTAAAGAGACTTGTAAAAAAAAAACATTGGTTTCTGGTGCACATCATTTACTTCAGCTGAAGTCAAAATTCACTTTGATTTTTATCAAAAATGGCTGATCTGTTCAAAGTAACTTCATGTCCCTCTGCAGCCATTCTCTACCATAATCTGAGTGTGTGGACCATTGCTTGGCTGGCTGCTAGGACGATCGGGTGCTCTTTTTACACTTGTCCCTTCAGGGGCTCCGTAGAGTTCTGAAACATTTTTTGTGCCTGTTAACTGCGTTATTCTGTAATATAATTTATTTAAACCTTAATTACAAAAAAACATTTTCTACAGGTAACGTGGTACACCAAAGTGATTTATATCTTAATTTTTTATTGAAAGAACACATAAAATGTTCTTATCTTGTAATACCTAATAGTCAAAGTTAGAAAATAATATTCTGAGATGAAAGAATGAAAATGAGCCCAAATATTGGTTATAGTTTTTGCTTGTCTTTTTGCTGTCTTTTTGTGTGTGTGTGTGTGTGTGTGTGTGTATTTTTTTATTTCACTCCAACATTTTTGCTGTCTTGTCCTCTTATGTTGCCTCTAGAAACAGATTATGATTACTATGTTTATTTTGTAACAGACTAACCTGATAACACTTATGGCCTTAAATGTTTGTGTTTTGTGAAACTAATAAAATTTCCCAAAAAAAAAAGGATAAACTAACAAACTAACCTTTTGGTGTTCTTTCACTCTTATTAAAAATATTTTTGCTTGCTTTGGGGAGAAGAAAGTCAAGCATTCATGTTTTATTTTAGTTTTGGTATCCATGTAGCAAACTTTTCTTTGCTTTTCAGCCACATTCAATCATATAAAGATTAAAGTTAAAGTACGCTTTTTTCACGTACTAAAGGATCATAATTCTCTAACTTAAATATTTGCATTGTCATAATTAGTTAATTTAATGATCAAATGTTTAATATAAATCTGAAAAAGCAACAGCTCTTCCTGCATTAAAGGAACAGAAATACCGCTCTTTCACGTTAGGCCTAATATTAAAAAATATATACATTTTATTATTTAGATTAGAAGCTTTAAATCATCTGGACATACTTACTTTTTAAAGGTGTGGAACACTGAAAAACCACTTTCTAATGATCATTTCTGATTATAATCGCTCACTGAGTTTTTTATGCAGGCTAAACATGAAAATAGTCTCCTACACATATCTCCTGCATCTGAAAACAGATGATGAATCTCTAGGATTAGAAATCCTGACTGATCTACGTCACCCTGTCACTTAACATTCGTGGACTTGCCCATCTTGACTCACGATGGGCTGTTGTTGGTTTAGCGTCCAGGAAACTGCAGAGAACGTCTCTGTTAGTAGAAGCTAACCGTTAGCATTAGCAGCTCCACCACACAGCAGAAGTCCAGGCTAGAGGTATTTGTGGAGATAAAACATAAACGCTGCAGAGCAAATGGAGTCTGTGGTAGAGCCGTGTTGCTGTTAGCCAAGCAGAAGAGAGATGTCCGAATATCAGAAAATAAGACTCCAAATCCTGTCGTCTGAAGCTACTTTCTCCTCTGGCTGGATTCTCTGTGGTGATACAAGCGCAACGGAGGACCCGTCTCCTGAGTTTGGAAGAGCCGAGCTGGACACGCATGAAGACACATGTTAACATGATACATGTGTTAGTGAGGTTACTGAGAACATTTTAACTTTAATCTTTAAAACTTACATTTTCCCGTTAAAGCCAAAAGTACCTAATGTGAGTTTTTTTGTCCTGTTTTGAGGTATTTTTGTTGCCTATGAAATAACCGTCATCCTACCTCCTGTTTTCTCTACTCGAAGCGGCACCATCGCCTTGAAGCCGAGCGCCAGCGCCTGGCTGAGGAGGAGCTGCTGAGGAACCAGATGACCATTCGGCGGGCCAAAGCAGAGGCTGAGAGGAAACACCAGGAGCGGCTCATCCAGCTGGCCCAGGAGCAGGAGGAGAGGGAGAGGGAGGAAAAACAGGAGGCCAGGAGGAAGAAGATGATGCTGGAACAGATGGAGAGGGAGAAGGAACAGCCTGTCGATCACTCTGAGATGGTCGACCGGATGTTTGGGTTTCTTGGAGACTCTGGGCCGTTACCAAACCTGGATGGACAAGCACCAGCTGGCTTTGAAGTTTGTGCTCTTTTGTTTTCTGCAGCTGAGGTGAAGAATTTCTGTTTTTGCTTTAACCTAAAGCCCACGTGTGTTTCCTCAGGACCTGGAGAAGATGCCTCGTGGTGAGGAAGCAGAAGAGGTGCTGAATGAAGCTCCTCCGCTTCCTGATGAGGAAGATGAAGATTTGTCAGAGTATAAGTTCTCCAAGTTTGCTGCCACTTACTTCCAGGGTGTTTCCACTCACACCTACATCAGACGACCGCTCAAACAACCTCTGCTGTACCACGAGGATGAAGGAGACCAGCTGGTGAGACTGAACATCACCCTGAGTTTGCTTCAGCAAATCAAATCATGTTTTCAGTCAGTGAGCCCTATAGATATTTATTGAGAATTATAAAGTGTCTCCTTTCAAAAGGTCCTTCATCAGTTGCAGCTCTTAAGTTTTACTAAGGTTTTTCTGAGGGGAGAAACGGCTCTTTGGATTGTAAAGTTTGTAGACCTCTGGTCTATATTTGAGGATTTCTCTAAACGTTCCTGTAAAGCAACAGAAAAACCTGAAGAAGCTGCAGATTCATTATATTCATGATTTATAAACCTCACAGGTAACATAAAGCCCCTGCTCTGTTCTCCAGGCAGCATTAGCCGTGTGGATCACCGTGTTGAGGTTCATGGGGGACCTCTCTGAGCCAAAATACCAAATGGTGCTCAACGACGGCAGCGAGAAGATCCCCGTCATGACGAAGATCTACGAAACCCTCGGGAAAAGGACCTACAAGAGGGAGCTGCAGGAGCTGCAGGTGGAAGGAGAGGTGAGAACGTGTAGCCGGGTTTGTGAGGTTCTTCAGAGGAACATGGAGGATTTAACCTGTTTGTGTCTACAGAACAGCTCCATAAATACCCAGAAGAGGAACAGCGTCAGACATAAACTGGTGTCTCTGACACTGAAGAGGAAATCCAAGATCACAGAGGAGGTGAGGCTCCGGTCAGACCTTTAGCTCAACTCTGGTGTTTCTCATCAGGATGCAGTAGCTTTAACAGAGGTAAATAAGAACGTGTTATAATTAAAACCTACAGAAACTGGGTATCTTCCTGCATAACAAGGCCTTTAAAGAGACACTTTGCAGCCTTCACATTTATAAATCATTTTCTGGAGCCAGCATTTGCTAAAATTAACTTTTTACAGTAATATTGAAATGTCACTCTGACCTCCACCACCCTCTGTGGCCAGACTACTTTTGCAAATTCAGAGTGCCAGCCCAGTCTGTTGGAAAAAATACCTGGTGCTGCATTCTGCTTCTAGCACATTTTCTTAATGTTTCAGATCATAAACCGCTCCTGTAGACCCTAATGAAGGCTGGGGAGACATTTCAGCTGTTAGATTAAGGTGATCAAAAGACAAATGCACAGCAAGGGGATACGTTTTGATTTGGGTTCTACTAAAAGGACACCCGGGGGTGCTAAAAGCAAGCCAAAACGGCCTAGTCTCCCTTGAACTCAAAGTTTCAGGTTTATAATCCGACACCTCAAGGTGTCTAATTGAGTTTACCGTCTGTTTCAGGTCACCAGGCGGCTCACCGAGGGGAGCGACTACGTTCTTCAGGGTAACAGCATGCTGGAGGACCGACCCACCTCCAACCTGGAGAAACTTCACTTCATCATCGGGAACGGCATCCTAAGACCAGCTCTCAGGTGAGCTGTGAAACGTTTTCTAAATCCACCTCAGCAGCCATCTTTTCTCTCACGGTGGAAACTCCGATCAGCTGATCGTGTTTGGAGAACTTGTTGTTTTTGACTTTCAGAGATGAGATCTACTGTCAGATCTGCAAGCAGCTCAGCCAGAACCCGTCAAAGAGCAGCCACGCCCGCGGGTGGATCCTCCTCTCTCTGTGCGTCGGCTGCTTCGCCCCCACCGAGAAGTTTGTTAAAGTAAGGTTGATTTTCTAATTTCACATTAAGCTTTTTTTCAGGTGTTTAACATGTGTTTTAACGTCAACAGGCTGCTTCCTGTTTATTCCCATCCTAAAATAAAATGTTTTTGTTTTTCATTTGCCACCTTTTTGACTCTTTTATGATGTTTCCAGTATTTACGAACCTTTTTGAAGAACGGCCCTCCTGGATATGCTCCGTACTGTGAAGAGAGGCTGAGGAGAACGTTTGCTAACTGCACACGGACACAACCACCGTCCTGGTTGGAGCTGCAGGTATCAAATGTCGATTTGAGGTCCTGGACAGGAAGATCGTTTTTTGTTTCCTCTGAAATGGCAATGAAACAACTACAAGTAGCTCAGCGAAGTTCATGTATTTATTTTTTTGTTCTACAGGCCACAAAGTCTAAGAAGCCCATCATGCTACCTGTGACCTTTATGGACGGCACCACCAAGACGCTGCTGGCGGATTCCGCCACCACAGCATTTGAGCTTTGCAACGCTCTGGCGGACAAGATCAACCTGAGGGACCGATTTGGCTTCTCTCTGTACATCGCTCTGTTTGACAAGGTACGAATGGAGCCAAAATTGTCTACGAGTAACTCTACCTTTGGTGCCAAGCGTTATGTTTTAGGGATTATAGAAGTAAAGGTAAAATTCTGTGAAGAAGGGAAGAAGTCCACTACATTTACTAGAAAACAAGACAAATTTTCCATGATTAAAGGTACAAATTCACTAGAATAAAACTGATATTTTCTGATGTTCAGAAAGGAAAAATGTCGGAGTTTACTATAAAAATGTGGAGACTTCAAAATTGTACTTGTAAATTTGCTAAAGAAAATCAATTATATATTTTTAAATGAAAATGTGGATATTTGCAGACCTCTAAATATTCATTAGCGTGTAACAGAAAAAACATTCATGAAAACTTGGAAGTTTTGACTTTTTATCCAAATTTTAAAAAAAACATCAGAGAAAATTTCATCCATTTATATCTTGAATCATGATTAAAGCATCCAAGCCTTTCCTCCAAACAAATAAAATAAATGATGTGTTTTTTATTTGCACGCTTCCCTTAGGTCTGGTTTATTGTTACCACCGGTATAGCGATGAGATTTCTTGCAGACATTGGAGGTGATTTGAGGATTGAGACTGTTTTTTCTGTCAGGTGTCGTCGCTCGGCAGTGGCAGTGACCACGTCATGGACGCCGTGTCGCAGTGCGAGCAGTACGCCAAGGAGCAAGGCGCTCAGGAGAGAAATGCCCCCTGGAGGCTGTTTTTCAGGAAGGAGATCTTCAGCCCCTGGCATGACCCGACCAACGACTACGTTGCTACCAACCTCATCTACCAGCAGATTGTGAGAGGGGTGAAATTTGGAGAGTATCGCTGTGAGAAGGTAAGTGAGTGCCGTCGGGGGTTTATCTGTTGCCTGAAGGTTTCTTTAAGCCACGGGTCTCTGTCAGGAGGAGGATCTAGCGGAACTGGCCTCTCAGCAGTACTTTGTGGATTACGGGTGGGACATCCTCCAGGAGCGCCTGCTCAGCCTCATCCCCTCCTACATCCCCGACAGAGAAATCACCTCGACAAAGACCACGGACAAGTGGGCCCAGCTCATCATCAGCGCCAACAAAAAGGTATCAGCAGCCGCTGCAACCTCAACATTTGTTGGTGCAGACTGAGTGAAGCTGACTAACTTAATCTGCAGGGATTACAGAATAAAAGGAGACAGAACACACAGAAGGTGAAGGAGGACGTGGTGGATTTTGCACGGTTAAAGTGGCCTTTGCTTTTCTCACGTTTCTACGAAGCCTTTAAGTTTTCAGGTCAGTAACATTCACCTCATCCTGGACAAGGTGTTCCTAAATGTTGGAATTTTATTGGACGTGACCATCTCTCGGCAGGGCCCAGTCTTCCCAAGAATGACGTCATTGTGGCTGTAAACTGGACTGGAGTTTACTTTGTGGATGAACAGGAGCAGGTCCTTCTTGAGCTGTCGTTCCCGGAGATCACAGCCGTGTCCAGCAGCAGGTAGTGTTGGTTTCACCTTCCAGATGAACAAGCTGTTGTTTTGGAAACACTTTGTGGAAGTGAAGCTGTCCTCCACAGGGGCGGTAAGCTCCAGGGTCAGAGTTTCACGCTGGCCACCATCAAAGGAGACGAGTACACCTTCACTTCCAACAATGCAGAGGACATCCGCGACTTGGTGGTCACCTTCCTGGAAGGTCTGAGGAAGAGATCAAAATATGTGGTGGGATTACTGGACTGTCCGAGTCCAGGTGAGCTCCGGTCCCGGATTAAGATTTAGTCCTGGTGTCGAGCCGAGCTGTGACCTTTGTCATGATCTTGATCCGGCAGCTGTGGTGGATTCCAACTTCCTGAGCTTCTCTAAGGGGGACCTGATCATCCTGGATGAGCACGATGGAGAACACGTGATGAACTCTGGCTGGGCTCACGGCGTCAACGACAGGACCAAGCAGAAAGGAGACTTCCCTGCTGACTTTGTCTACGTGCTGCCCACCATCACCAGGCCCCAGTATGATATAGTGGTGAGGATCTCTCCTCTGGTGGAGTCCTTCTGGCTTCGTTTGTTCATATCTGAGTTAGAAAAGAACATAATGACCTTTTTAAAATTCTAAATCACTTCCTGTTTGGCGGTGTCAGGCTCTGGTGACTATGACTCCTGATCAGAGACGAGAGTCCATCACTTCGTCTCAGCTGAGTCTCTCGGACCGGGACAAACCCAAGGCCTATACGCTGGAAGAGTTTTCCTACGACCACTTCAGGTGCAAAAGGTTTCCCACAAAGAAAATCCATAAATAAAGGAACTTAAAAAAGATTGTTCCCTTTTCCCGTTTGTTTTCAGGACTCCTCCTAAGAGCACCCTCAGCCGAGTGATGATCTCTAAAGCTCGAGGGAAGGAGCGTTTGTGGAGCTGCACCAGGGAGCCTCTCAAACAGCCTCTGCTGAAGAAGGTTCTGACCCATGAAGAGCTCAGTCAGGATGCCTGCCAGGCCTTCACAGATATCCTTTACCTACAATCTCCTTATTTATTATTCTGGCTAATGCTAACAGTCACGACTGATATCCTTGACTAACAGCCCACCTGTGATGAAGTATATGGGAGACTATCCGTCAAAACGAGTGCGATCCGTCAACGAACTCACTGACCAGATATTTGAAAGTGCGCTCAAGGCGGAGCTGCTGAAAGATGAAATCTACTGTCAGATTCTCAAGCAGCTCACAGATAATCCCATCAAGTGAGACTTTAAAGGTGGAAAGTTTGTTCCTGGAGCCGGTTCTATCAGGGAAAAGTGATTTTGTGTGTGTGTGTGTGTGTGTGTGCGTGCGTGCGTGTGTGTGTACGCGTGCAGGTACAGCGAAGAGAAAGGCTGGGAGCTGCTGTGGCTCTGCACTGGTTTGTTTCCTCCCAGTAACAACCTGCTGCCTCATGTCCAGAAGTTCCTGCAGGCCAAGAAGCACCACCTGCTGGCTCCAGACTGCATGCAGCGGCTGCAGAAAGCTTTACGGTGTGGAATGTTTCCACTTTCCTCCTCTTTTTTTTTAGTCGCTGCTTCATCTCTTCTGTTGATATTTGTTGCAGAAACGGATCGAGGAAGTATCCTCCCCACCTGGTGGAGGTGGAGGCCATCCAGCACAAGACCACTCAGATCTTCCATAAGGTTTATTTCCCCGACGACTCAGACGAGGTCAGTGACCAGTGAAACTCAGCACTTTTTTCCCTTTTTGTCAAAAACTTTAAAATATCACTAAACATGCTAGGGATTGGTGGGTTTTTATTCATTGTAAAGCATTTGTCACATTTCCTTTTGTTTTTTTTTTTTTTTGTTTTTTTTTTACCGTGTCCTGTCTGGCTGTGAAGCAAACTGAATTGATGTCTGAATGCTGGTGACAAGCCTTACAGATTTACTCTCAGGTGGAGCAGCAAAGTGTCTGCTTTTAATGTCACGCCTGATACTTAAAACTTTATTGTTATTGTTTTTTGAATGCTTGTATAATTCCGACCAGACACGGAGACAGAGGTGAAAGAGAAAGGAAGAGACAAGGGGGAAGGGGGGAGGGGGGGTCCACAAAAACAAACTATCAATGATGAACAAGAGTCTGCTTCTAGACCTGCAGAAGGAGAGAAAAAAAAAGAAAAGGGACACACAGCAATACAACAGGAGCAAGCTATCACTGCGTCAGCCTGATGTAATGGAAATGAAGGGTATCACAATTTAATTAATGACCAGAGATATTAACGATCCATACAGGGCATGGACCCTATCTCTGGACCTGGGCTTTTAAAATCAGAAGAGTGGTCCTTTTTATTACACGGAAATTTAATATAAACACTTTGCATGAAATGAGAGACAAGAGAAGTGAGAGAGAGACCTCGGAACGTTTAAGAAAAATTTATTATCTAAATTATTTTAAACAATTAACAGGACTAACTCTCTAGTGATGGATGCGAATGGAATGGAATGAGGTGGAGTGTGTGTTGGTGCGATGTCAGTTCAGAACCTGCGCGTTCTGGAGAAGCGAGTCTGAGTGGGAGATGTTGTTTTGCTCCTAACTGATCAACATTTGAACCTTGGTCAGAAAAGACATGAGATGCTATCTGTGCCGTTCTACATTACCCATCAGGGACTCCCATCTTAGATCAGGCTGCCAGGTCCACGGACCCTCCTCTGGTACTGGAGCCGAACGAAACAGCGTCCTCAGCACGACAAACCAGTCTATGGATAGTCTCCAGGTAAAAACGGCAGGTGTTTCACAGCGTCAACCCCCCTTTGGGTCAGCGAGTTCAGCTTTTATTCTGAAGGAACCTTTGTTTTGTTGGTAACAACGACAGGGTTTTCCCAGCTTGGCAGTTCTCAGCTTAAAAGTAAAAAGTACAGATGGCCGTTCCTTACTCCACTTAGCAATGATGAACATCAGATGATTTTTGAGAGCTGGCTGAATACTGAACTCAAAATGGCGTTGTTCTGACTTATTAATCTTTGATGTTTTCGTTTCTGGACGAATCACAGCTGACAGATTAAACAAACACCGCAGAGACTCTGCCACGCTTCAGATGTGAAGGTTCTGATTGGATTTTGCGACCGGAATGTGTCACCCCAGACACCCCAAACGCTCACATGCCGAGTTATCTTGTGAATCAGCGTGTCTAGTGGCTACAATACGTCATTTCCTTATTAAACATTAATCATAATGTGATTTCACAGATCGGTCACATGGTTATTATTGACTAACAATTGTTTTGATTAGCTTTATTAAAATAGAGTTCTTTGGTTAATTAAAAGAAAAGAGTTCATTCTTCGTTCTTCTGTCTTCACTGCTGGAATGTAAACATTAGGAGTGAATGCATGACCTTGGGCTGTTTCATGCACTCTGGCACTGTGTCAAACAGAACAGCTGTTAAAGGGGAGAAATGGCTCCTTCATCGCGTTACACTGATGAGAAAATATAAAAACATTGTTTTACTGAACAATCACGATAATAAATCAGTGCATTAATTGCCAACCACAGCCAACATGTGTTGAACGTGCCCAAGTCCATACTTATGAGAGCACCATGTGAGCACCTGTGTGCGTACCCACGCTTGTATATGTAAGGTTTCTCTATAGGAGCGTCCAATAGAGAGTGTGAGGGGCCACAGATCTGCCCCCAGAGATGAGTAGAAGATGGAAGGAGCTCCAAGTCTCAGACATCCAGGAGCTGCCCCAGAGCGCAGGGACCCCAGGGAGACTGCGACCAGAAAATCCCCTGCCCCCCTCGAGAGGCGCAGAGGATCGCCCCGGGGGCCACAACCAGCAGCCGGCAGAGTCCCAGGGGATATCAGCGGCAAGACTTGCCTCGATCATGCCTCGCTCTCTGCTACACTTCCAACATTTCAACAGTTTTTCTGCTGCTCCATCAGAGAAAACAAGACATTGGATTTGTATTGTGCAAATGTAAAGAATGCATACATGTCCAAAACATGACCTCCTCTGGGACAATCAGATCACAATCTTGTTTTTCTCTGCTCAGAATACAAACCACTTCTTCAGAGGCAACCTG